GACATTTGATCCACACTAATGGTCCAAGTCTCCTCTGACTTTCTTGTTTACAAAAGCACCACGACTCACTGTGAATGAAAATCTGCACTTAATGTGGTGTCTGGGATGTTAGCAAACTGCTGAACTCCACAGTTTGGTTTATGTCTTTGAAATATCTGAGCCCTAAAGAGCAGTAAGCAAGTAGTCCTCTGGGTCTAACTAGCTTCGTTTGAGTTTAAAATTTAAAATGGCAAGCATAAATCTACTTGGAGGCTCCTGTGATCACGCCTGAAGGATGTCCATCCTTTCCAGCTCCAGGATCGACAAATGACTCATGTAGCAGTGAGACTGTAAATTCTGGTGAACTGAGGTTTCTTTAGATAAATCACCCATTTGCAATTAGTCAAAGCAGTCAAAAGATTTTGCTGGGCTTCTGGGGAGTGCTGCACATGTTATACCCTGTGGACTGAGAAAGTGGGTAGACCTGAACAGCAGGGCCAGGATTAGGGTGAGGACAGTGAGGTTGAGTATTGCAGAGCAAGGAGCTTGTGGCCCCTCCCTCCATCTTCCAAACCACCAGAGGCATGACTCTGCCCTCTACTTCTGTCCTCATCTGATTCTGAATCTCCTGGTTCCCTTCTTCACTTATAAGGACCCTGTGATTCCAAATCTCCCCAGACAATCCAGAATAATTCCTACATCTCAAAATCCTGAACTTGATCACATCTGCAAAGTCCCCTTTGCCACGTAAAGGAAACATATTCACAGGTTCCAGGGATTAGAAGGCAGATATCTTTCAGGATGGTGGGTGGATATTATTTAGCCTATGACAATGTCGACCTGAATTTTAGCCCAGAGTTAACAGAATGGAGAAAAAACTCATCTATTGCTGGCACCCAAGAAAACTATCTCCAAGAGGCCACCTTAAGGGCCATGTGCCACCATTTCTAACCCTCACTGCTGTGTGCAAGCCACAGGCCAGCTGTCCCATGTGCACCTGTTCATTTAAAATGTCAGGCAGTGGGAGTGGGGGGGTCGCGGGGGCAGTGACACTCTTCCTCTCACAGCAGGTTCCAGGTGGAGGCCAAGCCCCGCCCCAAGAAGGGCAGTGAGGGCAGCAAAGCCTTTACCATCTCAGCACATTTCTGCTTCAAAGATGTCCCCTGGTGACAGCCCCAGAGCTCCTCTTTCCCACTTCCCTGATGGATTTTAAATTGCGGTGAGAACACGAAGAGCAGCCATACGGATGAGCATTCTGCCTGGCAGAGACAGGATTCTAGTTGGAGCAGTGAGGGTAATAAAGTGCTGCTTAATCTGCCTTAATAAGCAGAGTAAATGTTTAACTATCAATTGATATAAATGGCCTGTTGTAATTTTCTTGACTTTGGGAACATACCACTTTTGTGCTCAGGATGTAAAAAAAAAAATCAAGAGTCCTCGACCAAAAATGAGAAGTTGACATGACTGTGCGTGTTTTCTGGCTGGTGCGCCGTGCTCGGCATCTGGGGGGCCTGACAGTATGGGATGCATGGGAGAACCCATGTTCTTCCTAATTCAGTTTCTCACATAAGCTAGTTTGTTCATGTCCACATCTGTACCACGTGAATGTATGTGATAATATAAAGCATAAAAATTCATGTCTGGATCTGTCACGATATCTTTAATTTTGCTGGCTATTAGCACCAGTGGACCTAGAGGGAGTGATGGTAGCATTTCACCGGGTGTGTGTGCAAGGTACTTTGATGGATTAGGAACTTCTCCTGTGACATGTCAGAGCCTCACACAGTGGCTTCGACCTTCTGGAATCTGGGTTGCCGGCAAGCCACTGTGGCACATGCAAACACCTAAAACCTGTGAACATGGCCATAGAGGCACCAACTAGCTGGCTCTGAGAGATTTCTAGGCTGCAGAACCATCAGGGGATTCGTCTCCAGTGTGTTGATCCACCCAGGTGGTGGACCAGCATCAGGGCGGCCCCAGGAAGCTGTTGTGCTCAGGGCAAAGTCCCACACAGTGGGGGGTCTGGAACTACAGAAATTCCCCCACACACACACACTCTGGAGGAAAGCCCCTCCTGCCTTTGGTGCTGCCTGTCACCATCGGCCTCCCGGTCACCATCGGCCTCCCGTGGCTTGTAGAGATGTCTCTCCGGTCTGTGCTAGTGGTTCTTTGGATGCCTCCCTGGTGCTCGCTGCTCATAAGGATGCCAGTTGTACTGGATTCAGGGCCCACCTAACTCCAGAGTGACATCTTGATTCCACCTGCAAAGATCCTATTTCCAGTAAGGCCACAATCACAGGCTCTGGGTGGACGTGACTTTTGGGGGGACACCATTCACCCCAGTACTGCAGCCAGTTATTTCTCTGCCAGGACAGATACCAAGGGGGGGAATCTACTCTAAGCAGGGTCCAGGCTTCACACCCTCATGGCTGCATGTCTCACAGGGCCCACCTGGCCCTGCATGCACACCTGTGGGCAGCACCCAGTGTTTTCAGCACCCTTCTCCATCTCTTGCATTTCTGCTTAGGCTTCTGCTAACAGAGTTGAGGACACAGAGGCAGTATCCTCTACATACCGGGGCTCCTGTGTGCAAGTTTATGTCCTGCCACATGCAAGGGGCCTCCAAACATTCCCACCTTGACTCTTCTTCCCTCTCAGGGGACCTGAGTCCTGCCCACCTGAGGCAGGGAGGATATCACTTTGGTGTCCAGCACTCTGCCACATCCCACATATCCCCTCATATAGAAGCTGAAATCTCCTAAAGCTTCTGATTCTCCATTCTGTAAGAGTTAGAATGACCACAAAGACCTCCCTTTGCCTAGTACTCTCGGAGGAAGGAGGAGGGCCGGGAGAGGACAGGAATGGAAAGAAGGGAGGGACAGAACGGAGGACCACCTCTGCCCCCACAGCCCGTGCTACAAGCCCCCTCCTCTGGGTCCCTTCAGGGCAAGTGGGCACCTTGTCCACCTGCACAGCCAATGCCCTGCAGCTGGGCTCACCCCTCTGCCGAAGGCAGTCATCCCACTTGGCAGGGATGTGGGGCAGACGCTCTCTCTCCAGGAAACACTCCTCCACCCTCACCTCCTTGACCTCAGGTCCTGGGAGCAGCCAGGGTTGGATCCTTCTCAGGGAGGCTCAGGCATCAAGCATCACCTCCCCACAGATGACTCCGAACATGGATCTCCAGCCCCAAGGAGTCAGCTTGGAGAGCCAGGTCAGGTGGAGAACCCTGATGGACATGTCCAGGGAGGCCTCCAAGCTTGAACTCCATACGTGTTACTAGTGACTGAGATGCCGATCTGATTTTAGGAACAAGTGCTGAGGGCAGCTGGCCCTGGGCCTGCCGGGAGTTAGGGAAGGTGGTGGAGGCTGCGCCAGTGGCAGGTTGCAAACGCTGGAGTCCTGCAGGCCAAGAGGCTGAACGTGCACTTCTCAAAAACGCCAGGCAGTCTGTCACCTCCTTGGCTCCTGATCTGGCCCATTTTGCTGGGTCCCGAAGTTTCTGGAAAATCAGCAGGGCATAGAGGAGAAAGGACAGGGTTCCTGCAAGGTCCCTTCCCTGCCCTCCGGGAGCCTGTGACTCTGTGACGCGGAAGCTCCACAGAGCAATGCTGGTTTGGAGGGCTGGGTAAAGTGTGTAGGACAGATGTAACCCCCAGCTAACAGCACGCTGGCTTCCCTTCCAAGGAGCCGTGGGCTTGCGGACGATCTGAAAATTAGCGAACGCTGATTTTTCAGTTATGTGGCATTGTCTCATGTGACTATTTTCCCCTTTTGCTCTCTAGTTTGTACTTCTCACTTAATATGTTCTGTTTCAATCAGGCACCCTGTTTCCTCAAAAAGGCCGTTTCCAAAAGAGCAAGGTGTTAAACATTCTAAAGCATCTGCTCCAATGACTTCATTCAACTGGAAAGCGCCCCTACAATACTGGGCCTATTTTAATAACAGTGAATCACATGGTGTACACAGCGATCTCAGGTTATGACAGCACTGTGTTCCTCTTAAATGTGCTTTGATTTTTAAGTGATGGGGTCATTCTGCACTAATGGAACACTTTGGTATCAGATTCCAGAGAATCTGGCAGCCAGTGGGGGCCACTGCAGTCTTGCGAGGTCACATAGATGACAATGTGTTCCCATCCACTGACAAGGGGCGTCTCAACCTCTGCCCAGTGAGGTGACAGGATGCTTGTGTGGGAAAGCTCCGTCTTATTAAAACCTCCTCTACGAGTCTGCCCCAGATACTGGGGAGAAATGAAGAGCCCCACCCTGCACACCCTCAACAGATAAGGCAGGCGGGAGCATCTTCAAATAGAGCGCAAGTGTTGGCCCTCCGAGGCTGACACCAATGAGCTAAAGACATATCCCATCTTCAGGGTACAGCATTTCTAAAGTCTCCCACGACAGGATATTGGTTTTGTGTTTTTTTTAATCTATTACTGCTTAGCGCCATAGGGTGAACCCGATCACCTACAACCTAATTCAGCTGGGACAGACTATAAGGCAGTCCTTCTGACTGCTTTGTCAGTCCTCCAATGACCTGGGGAGACTTTCCTGGATGGCCTGGACAGATCCAGGGATGCTCACAGGACATGTGTCCAGGGCGTAAAAACTGTCAAGTGGACGGGGTAGGGACCGCCTGTCCCCATCACCCAACCCTCTCTTCACTTTCCCCGCCACTTCCTTCAATGGGTTAACAGTATGGGTTAACAGTTTTCAGTATATCCTGAAGACATAAACTATATCTCTAGTGTTCATTTTCTCCTCCAGGTATAAAACTGTATTTTAATACAGAGTAGGCTTAAGAATCACTACGTTGGAAAAATCAAAGAGCTGTGACAAGAGCAGGTATTATAGTTCTTGTCAATTTTTGATTCAAGAAACTGCACCTCCCACGTGGCAGTTTATGAACCCCTATAACGTCCAAAGCCAAAAAAGGGAAAACCAGGTACAAACCACGAAGAGAAGTAGTTAATGGTCTCACATTTGAGGGACTTTTCATAAATAAAGTTATACCAAAAATACAGCAACAGATAAAGAACAGTTTATTTGACAAAATTAGAACCCCCACATCCATGTAAGAGAACAATACAAAAGCCGGTGACTATCACACAGTTGAAATTCACAGCTAACGTTTAACACTGCCAACGGTCTTGAATGACACTAATTCTGTTCAAAGTAAGGTAACATTTCTCCATGACTGGTCTTCAAGCTCAATGGCATCCAAAAGGAAATGTCACAGAAGGACAGACTAAGCAAGGTTTAAAATACCCTGTAAGTTGCTTTGTAGCTTAGTTAGGACACATGGTCTTAAATAGGTCCTGATGCAAGCTCTTAAGAAAAAAATTCAACGTCAAGAGTTGAAAAGGTAAGTCATTTCTGAAGCAGCAGATGAAATACGCTCAGTACCAGCCTGCGCTGACAAGCCAGCAGTGGCAAGATTGGTGGCTTATGAGAGACCTTCACACAAAATCTCTGCAGCATCAGATTACATTTTTATCTCTTAAAAAGCCCTCCTATTTCTCAAGATAAGATGTTTATTAATGAAAAGGGGAAAAAAAAAGTGAGATCATCCTGTCTGCGGGGAGGGAATGGTCACCCTCGTCTAACACGGGAAGACACCGACCAACACACTCGCAGTCTCCTCGAGCCCCTATCACCTTGCCACAGCTTCTGTTGAGGAGGAGCTTCGCGTCTGCTCCAGGGGGCCCCGTGTGATGGGAGACCACAGAAAGGCACTTACCCAGCTCATCTGGGAGAACACGACAAACAGTCTAGGTGCCGCATGTGCACGGTCAGGAAGGTGGAGAAGCATCTCCTGCTTGGTGCATGGCCACCTACGGTCCACCAGACATGGCCTCGGGGGTATCAGGTCCTCCTGCTGGCAGGTACCCCATTTGCCCGTGACCGTTGCCGGTCGTACCTCACAGAAACAATCAGGAAAAGCAGGAGGGTGGCTCCCTGAATCGCAGCCAGGAGAAAGAAGTAGTAGTTCAGATGGCAGCCATTGATATTGCCTAAGAAGACACAAGAGAGAAACACATCAGCTGCACTTAGGGACTTCTCAAGATTTTACCTATTCTGTTTGGTTCCTATCAAGGTCAGGGTGATTTTTAACTGCAGTTATTAAAAAAAGAAAGGAAATGAAAAAAATTTTATCTTTGTAATTCAAAACACACAAGTATTTTGTTTCTAAAACCACAGCAAAAGTCACTCTGAAGCCAGTTGTGTGTCTACCCCGGGCTCTGGACCGCAGTCTCTGGCATGAACCGCACTCCCTGCTCCTCAAACGTCTCCCCGCTGCACGACAGAGGGATGAGGCCAAAGCCCCTGGCCATGGGAATGCAGTGACAAGGCCTATTTCTGACCACATCCTCCAGAGAATCCATGCAATGGGCTGAAGAGAATCTGAGGAGGTGAATGAGGTGAGCATCCACTGGCCACAACTGAAACCATGTGGAGAAAGTCTTTATTTTTTTTTTTTTTCCTTAAATTTTTCCAGTGCAGAAAGTTTGGGGAAAGTGAAAAAAACCACCCCACTGTGTTCCTGCCCCTACCCTAGAAGCAAACACTGGACGGGATGGTGTTTGTCTTTTCCAGCAGCTCCCCCCTTTAGGACTGTCAGCTGGCCTAGCGTGGACAGCTGTTCCAAGGAGGCCATCCTCATGCCGATCCTGAAAGCCATGTTCTCCACGGCTCGGGTCTAGAATCTGGATCCTCATCAACACCACACTTCGATACAGCTCGGATGCCATGTCCAGTCAGGAGTTCTGGATGCCTTGTGCCATTCAGTAGTAATTCAGGTATAGTGAGCACCCTCCAACACATGTGCCTTTCACAAGCTAGGGCGGGTAGCTGACATACACTCCACATACTACACGTAGATAGTGTTTTTAAAACTCTTCTCCCAAATGTTCAGGTTTTAGCATCCTCAAGGTGATACAGGGACACACTTCATCTCAGCAGCTAACCTACTGAATGCTTGACTTTGGCCCAAGCACTAAGCATGGCCTTTCACACACACTGTTCCGTTTAGCTACCAATACATCCCAACTAGGCTGAAGAGGTTAGAGTCACAGACCCTGAAGCTCAACCAACAAAGCTCAAAGCCAAGAGGCCTGCTGTATCTGGGCTGTTTCCCCATCTGTGAAATGGGGAAAACATAGCAGCTAGCAGACAGTGTCATCGTGAGGGCCAAATGTGCAGGTAACATACCCAACACTGGACCCAGGACACACTAAGGCTGTACTGTCGCCTGCCTGTTACCATCCTCACTGTACATGTGGGTCCAGGACCGTCAGGTCTGTAAACTGGGAGGCTTTCTGATGGAGAACCGAGTTTTCAAGGCAGGACTTACCACAACCACTCAATGTGGAGAAGTAAGAATGTATTGAAATACGATGTTTGTATTGAAGCATTCAGAGCCACTCACAGCACGTCACCCTGAGCTCCCTACAAAGCCTGACCCTCATCGCCATGGCCCACAAGTGTCCTACCATTTACACCATTTGTCACCAACTGAAAAGGCTGACACATTTCTTGACAGAGGAGCAAAGAGATGTATTTGGTCAGCAGTGTCTCCAGAGAAAGCTGTTCTCTCTCACGTGTATCACATGCAGCTCTCTGATTCGCTTAATTTAAAAATCGAGGCTTCCATTTGTCTGAAGGGCTTTGTAAAGCTGGGTTACTCTGGAACTTCCCTTCTGTGTCTGAACAAGTACTAATGGCCAATGCTTTATGGTGCTTGTATTTGTAAGCACAATTAAGGATCTATATAACACACATTTGTACAAGCGCTCAAGCAGGCTGCAAAAAAGTGACTTCCCACATGGATTGGTTTGGGAAGGGATCTGGTAATACCCAAATTTCTAGCAGACCGTCTACAACAGATAGTTAAGAACGGTGACTGATAAAAAACAACAACAACAACAACAACAAAAAAACAAAAAAACGGTGACTGAGCCCCTACTGTGTGCTGGGCTCTGTCTCAGGTACTGGGAGGCCTGCACACCCCGTGGAGCCCAGGGTACACTGTCACCACTGCTGTTAGCTCTGTGCTACCAGAGGAGATTGCTGTCAGGATAACAATGACGTCATTCTACGCACTGATACTGAAACATGCATCTCCCCAAATTAAGGAGTCATTTAAAAGTTGTGAAGCTTGGGCACCCATGTGGCCAGTTGGTTAAATGTCTGCCTTTGGCTTAGGTCATGATCCTGGGCTCCCCTGGGATTGAGCACCTCACTGGGCTCTCTGCACAGCATGGGGGGAGGGGGTCTGCTGCTCCTTCTTCCCCTCCCCACTACTCACTCTCTCTCAAATAAATACATTTCAGAACTTCTGAAGCTCAAAGCTGGCATACCAAGAGAACTACACGCTGTTTTCCCTCTTTGGGTTGGCCTGTGTGGGATTAGGAAGGGTGTTCAGAAGCCAGTTCACTACCTGTAGGCAGTCACCCTGTACTTCCTTGGGCTTCTTCGCAGACCTAAAGGTAGTAAACTCTGGGTGACAGACTCCTGGGCCCCGGAGCAACAATCTCACATAATGTCCCCAGACATACGTGCAAGAAGGTCCTTAGCGGCTTTACTCATGACAGCCTCAAACTGGAAACATCACACCCAGCAAGAGCAGATCAGATCAGTGAACTGTGACTGACTCATCCACCAGCTACTCCTCAGAAGAAAGCAGTTACAGGGGATGATTCACAGATGTGTGGAATGGAGCTGGCCACAGCAGCACAAAATCAGCAGAGTCCACAGGGCCTGACATTGCAGAACATGGTGGTGAGTGGACAGGGTACAGAAGGCCACAGGGAAGCCCTCTGAAATGTCCTGCATCCTGATCTGGATTAAACACGTTTCAAATTGTGCTTAAGACAGGTGTGCTTTGGGCAGCCTGGGTGGCTCAGCAGTTTAGCGCCTCCTTCAGCCTAGGGCGTCGTGATCCTGGAGACCAGGAATCCAGTCCCACGTCAGGCTCCCTGCACGAAGCCTGCTTCTCCTTCTGCCTGTGTCTCTGCCTCTCTCTCTCTCATTAATAAATAAAATCCTTAAAAAAAAAGACTGGTGTGCTTTGGGGAGCCTGGGGGCTCAGTGGTTCAGTGTCTGACTCAGTTCTGGCTTAAGTAGTGACCGTAGGGTCATGGGATTTAGCCCTGCACTGGGGTGTGGGGGGGTGTTCCCTGCTCAACATGGGATATGCTTGAGGATTTTCTCTCTCTAGAAAAAATAATAGATCTTTAAAAAAATCCTTAGGCACCTGGGTGGCTCAGTGGTTGAACATCCGACTTTAGTCCAGGTTGTGATCCTGGGGTCCTGGGATTGAGTCCTGCATCAGGCTCTCCACAAGGAGCCTCCTTCTCCATGTCTCTATCTCTCTCTGTGTCTCATGAATAAATAAAATCTTAAAAAAAAAATCCTTAAAAAAAGAAAAAGATTGCTGTGCTTTAGTCTGAATTATCCTAGATCTAAATGATGATGTTCATGAAAACTTGGCCTCCTGAGAGAACAAGTACAGAAGGGAATGGTGTAAGAACAGGGGCTCCTCCTCCACACCACATTCCTGTAACTACACAGGATGCTCTAAATCTACCTGCTTCCTTCATCAGCAACCTGAACCCATATACAGAAAGGAAGCTGTGGAAGAGCAGAGCCAAGAAGAGCACAGTTCGTGCAGCGAGACACACAGAGCCCAGGATGACACCTGCCACTCCTTCTACTGAAGCAAGATTTTATTCTGGTGTGGGGGTGGAGGCTTACCTGGTCCCATCCTCCCCCCAAATCCCCAGTGGGAGGGAGCTGAGAGGAGCTGCCTGACCCACCGGGCACTTCCCACATCTGCATCCTCTTCTTGCCAAGTGGGCTGTGGGCATGGTTCACTGAACCTCTTCTCACTGGTGTGAAAATAAGGACAGGACAGGTCTCCTCGTGCCACGAGTAAGTGGCAGCCCTGCAGACCCGGCACACTTGGCTGAGGCACATCTGTCCCCGCAACAGAAAGAGGCTCATCTGTGTCCCAACAAACTTGTGAGGATGTGGGAGATCAGGTGGGGAGTAGTCTCAGGCAGCTCCTGGGCGGCTGTGCTCTGCTAACACGACCACAAACACTTGGACACCCGCTGCAGCCCAAGCCCAGGTCCTGTCAGAGGCCATGTTCAAACACACAGTGCAGCCCTTACCAAAGTCTGTGTGGTTGCTCATCCACCCGATGGCTTTGATGGACACCAGCTCCAACAGTCCAGAGCCCACGAACGAGCCAACACCAGAGAAGAAGAAGAACAAGCCCATTATGGCGCTCTGCATGGATTTGGGGGCAGCTGAATAGGCAAATTCTAGACCTATAAAAAGAAGAGGATGGTTTCCGTGAGAGGCGGGCTGACCCCCTGCCTATATACAGCGGGGTTAGCAGGGGCCCCACTTGGGGACTTGGGAAAGCAAGGCAGCTCCCTTCCCTATTTGGAAGACTGTATTTAACACAAGGTCAAGAAATCAAGGGGCCCTTCTATTCACTGTGACAGTCTTTCAAGTCATGGAGCAAAACGTCAATTTGTTGCTCTCAAACTTAAGGGTTATTAACATCTGACTTGTTGGCTCTAGTATTTCTTCATCTGAGGGTTAAAGAAGCAACTAAGGAGACTGTGAAAACAATGTATACAGACTAAAATGGGGATTCTATGTAAGACTTCTATCTTAAAGGCAATAGGTTTTAAAATAATTTCAACATGGACATCTAAAAATTCTGATTTTTATAACAACTGCACGTAGAGATTTGTAACGTACTCTGAATGAAGGACCAGTCTGATTTATTTCCTTTACAGATTCATGAGTCCATTCTGCTGAGTCTGGTGAAGGTGAGGAGGAAGAACCACCACCTACATCCCCCCCCCCCCAACAATAGATCGGCTCTGGTCATCACGAATTTTCTCCCTCCCTTCCAGCATCCGGGAACAGGTCTGCACACCATGTACTTGTCCACACCCCCCAGAACCTTGCTCACAGGATAGGCCTGTGCAAACAGCTTTTAGGAATCAGGTCTGCCGCCTGCACAAAGCTGACCTCACACACTCAGAGCTCTGGTGGCTCGGCTGCTGCAGTGTGACCACAGAGCTGAGGTTAGGAAGTATCCAACCCGGGAGAAACCACCCACCACAGGCTCTCTTCCTCCTCCTTTCTCCTGTGGCATCTCCAAGGCAACAGACGATGTCATGGACATGTCTTTGGGAACCCTGTTTTTATATCTAGAAACGAGAACCTCAGCCACGGTACCACTGAACAACTCACACCATGAACCACAACTGTTGCCACGAAACAAAAGGGGCAGCAGGGCATTTGTGTCTCTGTGCATTCTAATAGGGTGTGTACAAGACACCATGCTCCTGTTCATTTAGGATCCTTTGAGCCCCAGAGCTGGGAAGGAGGGAAGCCTCACCTGCTATGCTGGCGAATATCTCACTGATGCCAATCAGCACATACTGTGGGACCTGCCACCATATTGGCAGGTCAGCAGCATAATACACCACTTTTCCGATGGTCTGATTGATGGTTTTCTCTTTAACAAGGTCCAGCCTTTTGCTCTCCAAAATTCCTAGAATTCATAAGCAGGTTAATAGAACACTCGTTCACTAACATTTGTAATTAAACTAAAACACTACAGGCTTGCTACATGTTTATTGACCATTCTGAAAAGAAGGGATGAGGCCCAATGGCACACCTGCTCCAAAATCACCCGACCCAAGGACCTCTTGACTTCCTAATTACTCAAACACTGATCATAACAGATTATTTCAGGTGGGCGCTTTCCACCGCCTCAGGCAACAGATGCTCCACACATGTGGTTTAATCTTCAAATGTCTATATGGTGCACCTGTACTCTTCTGTTAAACAGTCCTGCAGTAAGGACAGTGATAATGCACCCACTTCTGAGACGTTTTTCTTGCCATGGCAATGGATTTAGGCTGGTCCACTGACCTATTACCCTTATGACTACAACCCAGGCTACTACTGTTGACACCAGTTCCCCTACTGGTAAACAGTGAACAGACTATATAGCAGCCCTGTGAAACTACTGGTCATTTTTCAAGGTAAACAAAAAGACACAAGGACATGAGCAAGAGCACAACCACTCCTTGTGAAACAAGTAATAAACCAATCAGAGTGAAGTTTAAAAGCAAGAGCTGTAGAACCAAGTTTTTAGGTTAGAGAGGTCACCAGTTTTGTTTCTAAAGAACTCTGTGAATAGAATAATAAGCCCTAGTGCTTAATATATACGAAAACACTTAGTATTTAAAACCACGAGTACGAGGAAGGATAGCTGTCTGGGAGAGGACAATGGACTCCATCTATTAAAAATACTCATTTTAAAACCTGAGAATGAGAAAGGTCCAGGCTACCAGTAACAAGAGGAGGGGAAGACGAATTCTGGAATCTGTCCCCAAGCCTAAAGGTCATGTGAAATGTCCCAACAAGAAGTGTATCGAACTAGGGGTGGTAGAAAGGGAGGTGGCGGGAGGGTGGGGGTGACTGGGTGACGGGCACCGAGAGAGGCACTTGATGGGATGAGCACTGGGTGTTATTCTATATGTTGGCAAATTGAACACCAATAAAAAAATACATTTATAAAAAAATATAAGGACTCAGAAATGAAAAAAAAAAAAAGAGTGTGTATCAAGGGAGCACAGTAAGGACAGGCCCAGCTCCATCAGAAACACCTGCATCCCTTCCCTGGAGGCACATGGAGGGGCCCTAACCCCTGCACCCTGTCATACAGGGTGAAGCGTAGGAGCAGACCTAGAGCTGTCTGCCTGGCACTCCTAGCTGCTCTAGATGGGTTGTTTGAGGAGTGGCAGTGCCGTGGCTATCTCTGCCACGATGCTGGTGGTGGCACCAAGTGCCTTAGCCACAAGTGACAGCTGTCCTCTGGGCACAGGACAAAGTATGCCCAGCTTCCTCTGGGTCAGCCAAGGTTCCCCTCACTATAAGGTCACTGTACTGACCACCAGTGTACAGCTGAAAGGTTGTGGAGCAATTCTAGTGTAGCTGGGTCTGTAGGGAAGGACCCTCTCAACCAGTCCTGAGGGATGAAAACAAGGTGGAGAAAAACACCCTCATCCATAGGGAAGGCCGGGCAGTTGAGAGGATTTGTGCATTTGTGTGTGGGGCAGAGGGGTTCCACTGGGGACAAGACATGCTCTGTGGTCCTACCCACAACACAGATGCCGTGCAGATGGGGGGAGAAGAGACAGAAATGAATGGTGCTGGCTGGGGGCACACAGAGGACAAGGCTGGAACAGAACCTGTAGAAATAAATGAGAGCTGTCCTGTGGGGGGCCAGGAAGGATAGGGAGGTGTGGCACACATGGCTGACCCTGCAGAAGGCAACAACAGAACGAGGCGCTGCCCGCAGGAGCTGCTAGGGGAGGAAGGGAAGCCACCAAGCACCAACACTCCAGGTCCAGGCCATCCTGAGTAACAGCAGAACTGACAAGGAAGCATCAATATTAATGTGAAGGAAGGTGCCAGGACAGCCAACATGGCACCCTCTTTGTTGACCAACTGCACTCTGCAGAGATCAAAGCCAACCAAACTCATCAGTGTGGGCAGGATGGGGGCGTAAGGCATACCAGCCCGGATGGGATCAGGTGAGAGGAAGGACTGGCCAAGATACAGCTGGCAGTCACCAGCAAAGGAAGAGGTGATGCTACCTGACAAGAACAGGAAGGTAGATTCAAAAGAAACACACAGAAAAACACAAATTTGCTCCATTTCATTTCACAGACACGATGCCATTGGTGATCCACAGAAGCCAGAGATGCAAACAGCACCATGCTCTTGAAACATGAGTGCACTAAATCTGGCCTTGCTCCCAGACTCAGGATTCCAGGTGCACCACCTCCCCACCAAGGGGCCATCTTCCCATGGGAACACACCTAACCCCAGAGAAGACAGAAACATGTGACGAAGTGACGGACACACACCTCTCCAAGTCCTGGTTAGAACAAGTAGACAAACCCCACGAAGGCTTCATTTGGTGCAAGGGTTGCCATCTGGACATTCAAAGGCAAGCCCTGGCCTCCACTGATATGACACACAGCTCAGGACTCATTGAATGGAGACAGAAAGGTCAGTGCTCACGGGTTACTCTGGGAGACGCACACATCTGGGTGGGGCCCGTGCCTCTATTCACCCGACGATGCACAGACAAATTCCGGGACCGTGAGCACAACCACAGGATCCACGGGACCCCTGGGCCCCGCGCAGGCACTGGGTTCAGAGCACCTGCCAGAACATGTCTGATGAATACAGCTGATGGCACTACAACAGAGGAACCATCATCCTAATAGGCTCCCTGAAAACATTTCCTGAAAGGAAGGTGTGAAGTCTGAATGCAGGATTTACAAAGCCATCGTCTCCCCCGAAACCACAATTAAACTAGACTTCGTTAACAAACGGATAAACACCAGTCCTACAGAAGCAGTTCTTGGGTCATAAAGGAGGCAAACACCCAGGTTCAGTATTCTTAGAAAACAAAAATCACAGCAAATCAAAGCACATGAGACCTGACAAAGCAGCACTGACAGGCTAATTCATACCGTTCTGTGGTTTTCACCATTAAACAGGGAAGAAAAATCAAAAGTATATGAATACTCTAACCAATGAGAGAGAAAATCACAAAACAAACCCAAGGTAAAGAGAGAAATCATATTTTAATTTTTCTCTATTATTAGAAAACAAGGTCAAATAGATAAATTCAAGAGATACGTCTATGAAAAAAATCACAAAACACAGTTTTGACAAGCCTAATATAAGAAAAAAAAGCACATAAATACATGAAACTAGAAATGAGGGAGGAAACACAACAGATTTATTTATTCATGAGACACACACACAGAGAGAGAGACAGGGAGGGAGAGAGGGAAGGGGGGGAGAGAGAGGGAGAGGGAGGGAGAGGGAAGGGGGGAGAGAGAGGGAGGGAGAGGGAGAGGGAGGGAGAGGGAGGGAGAGGGAGAGAGAGGGAGAGAGAGGGAGAGAGAGGGAGAGAGAGGGAGAGAGAGGGAGAGAGAGGGAGAGAGAGGGAGAGAGAGGGAGAGAGGGAGAGGGAGAGAGAGGGAGAGGGAGAGAGAGGGGGAGAGAGGGAGAGAGGGAGAGAGGGAGAGAGGGAGAGAGGGAGAGAGGGAGAGAGGGAGAGGGAGGGAGAGGGAGGGAGAGAGAGAGAGAGAGAGAGAGGCAGAGACACAGGCAGAGGGAGAAGCAGGGAGTCTGACGTGGGACTTGATCCCGGGACTCTAGGATCATGCCCTGGGCCGAAGGCAGGCAATAAATCGAGGAGCCACCCAGGGATACCCTACTTGGGACTTTTTTTTGAAGAGCACTTAAGTGATTTAAGAGAAAACACAATCTGCACAAAATTGAGAAAAAGATGAAAACATCACCCCATTTCTCCTGAGAGAGTAACAGGCTCCCCTGGGAGCAGACAGATAATTCTCCCCCTGCTGAAATATTCCCCTGCTCAGAGAAATTAGGGTCTACTAATACCTTTTTTTTTTTTTTTTAAGATTTATTTATTTATTCATGAGAGAGACAGATACACAGGCAGAGAGAGAGAAGCAGGCTCCACACAGGGAGCCCAATGCAGGACTCGATCCCGAGACTCCAGGATCATGTCCTAGGCCGAAGGCAGGCGCTAAACCACTGAGCCACCCAGGCATCCCTACTAATTCCTTTTATGAAGCTATATGACCCTGACACCAAATCACAGACTGATGCCAACTATGGATGGAGGCACATAGCAGAGACCGCACACAAAGTCAGCCCTCTGGACAAACAGGTTTGTTTTAGAAACGCAGAAATGAGTATCAGGAATTTAATGTAAATTAAAAACACATGAACACCAGGTGTGTGTGTGTGGGGCATATAATCCTATTAGAAACCAAAATATGTTACCAGAGAAAAACTCAACATTTCTGCCAAAAATACTCAGTAGACTTGAAATAAAGTTTAGAAATTTAGCATCGCCATGAATATGTATCTCAAACCCAAGTTCAAAGCTTCCCAGTGAGCTGCCCTGGAGATGCCCCCGTTAAAGCCCAGGTGAGAGAGCAGGTTCTCCATCACCACCAGCTCTACCAGCACAAAAGAAAGTCTCGCCAACACCACCTAACAGAAAGGGAGGGAGAATCACCAATGAAGGCAAGAAAATAAACTATGTTATTTGAAGAAAACAAGTGACCATTTGTGGTTTTGTTTTTGTTTTTTTTTTAAATTTTTTTTGTTTTATTTATTTATGATAGTCACAGAGAGAGAGAGAGAGGCAGAGACACAGAGGGAGAAGCAGGCTCCATGCACCGGGAGCCCGACGTGGGATTCGATCCCGGGTCTCCAGGATCGCGCCCTGGGCCAAAGGCAGGCGCCAAACCGCTGCGCCACCCAGGGATCCCGACCATTTGAAAAGAATTCATCTGAACTCAGAATTTAAAAAAATCCCATATGTGAGCAAGCAAAAATACGAAAGTAGTTAGGAATAAACCTAACATAAAATGCATAGGACCTAAAAGAAAGAAACGCATAAAACTGCAGGATACCATAAATTAAAGAAAACATGAAAACATTGTAAAGAGTATTCCTCAGATGAAAGTTCTGATTACATATCAACATGAACAAGAAAGGCTCGGCACAGGGACCTGGAGGGCTTATTTGGTGAAGGGTCTGCCTTCAGCTCAGGTCATAATCTCAGGGTCCTGGGTTTGAGTCCTACACCAGGCTCCCTCCTCAGCGAGGAGTCTGCCTCTCCCCTCTGCCCCTACCCCCTGCTCGTACTCTCACTCACTCAAATGAATAAATTTAAAAAAAAGTCTTTAAAAAAAAGAAAAAGCAAACCTTGCTACGAAATGCCCCAGGGCATAAGTGTACACAGAATCTGATGACTGATAATGTGGGAAGGGAGCATCATCATAATATACACATCAAAACCAAGATACACTGTATTTAAATCCTTCAGGTAAGAGATTCACAGAAAATGTAATGAGAAGGGAGCTGACAGGGCTGAGCTCATGGCCTGAACACTTTCAAGTGGAGGAACCCACTGAGAGGACAGCGGGCTGAGAGTACATGTGGATGCGGGGGTGGTGCACAGACTGGACGCAGCTATCTGCATACTATGAAGGGACTGGTCTAAAAACTGATGGTAAAAAACAAAACAAAACAAAAAAACAAAAAAAAATAAAAAAAAAATAAAAACTGATGGTACATTTAACAAGAGAATATGATGTAGTTGTTAAAAAACACAAATGTGTAAATGACAAAAACGGTACAGATAGATACAACATACAAAAACAATTAAGTTTACACTGTGAATAGTTGGTTTCATTTCTTTTTAAAAACAAATGAATATAGCTGTCCAGAAACTGTCTCAGGAAGACGTCACGCGGTCGTCCTGGACAGTGGGATAATGGCACACAGGGGTCTCCCCTGCTCTTCTGTGTGTTTGTAATGACCATGGACTGACTATGTGATAGTATGTCTGAAAACCCTGCTGCAGACCAGTGGTTCTTAACTAAGCAAGGTATGACCCAGGGAGAGGCTCTCAGTGGACTCTGCCCCGTTGCTAATGCTCTGGCCCTGACGCCTGGGCACGGACTCCCACGTACAGCCCTGTGTGATGGGATACCCAGGATACCACCAGTGGGACAGGGGAGCCGGCAGGCGGACGGGAGGGCACTGCCAGCCTGGGATGATGGTGGAGTCACTACCTCTCTGAAGATCCTTCTGTCATATTAATAAAAGCCTTAAGAGGATGCCACGGTTACACTTGTAGATATCTGAAGAGTAAATCAATCTCCCTGTAGTAAGGATTATAGTCACAAACCCAAGCACCCAAAAGCAATCCCCAAGAGCAGAGGACTACAGAAGAACGTCTGATATGGGAAGGATATTCGTGATACATTAGGGCTTGTTTTCAAAGTGCACACAAAGGAAATATAAACTATCTACCACATAACATGTATGTAATTTTCCCCAGGCATCTGCAAAATGGTAATTATTGGTTTCCTCAGGTGGTGGAATTACAAGTGCTTAAATGTGTATGTGCGTGCACATGCAATGGCTTATCTGTATCTCTGTTTTTTTTTTCCCCTCCTCTGTAGCATGCACAGCTTTTATTATACTCTTAGGGTTTTTCTGACACTTATTTTTTTTCTCAATCAGGCTCATATCAGCTTGCACAACAGGATTTAGTTTTTGCAACAACACAGAGGGTATGTGTACACACACACACAAACAAGATCAGACAGGTTCACAACACCCCAGTGGGTGTTTCCTTAGAGCGCCTCTAAGGAAATTACAGCTGGTTTTTATTTTCTTCTCTATGCTCCCAAGACCACCTTTCCTCCAGCAAGCATCTATTGCCCCAGTAATTCAGGAGGATACACACAGTTCTTTAAAGAGAAAAGGAAATCTAACCAATGCACATACTTCCTTTTTCCTTATACACACTTGAAAAAACCCCCGGGGCCTGCCTGATTCTCATCTGAGAGACTAGAAAAAACCACTACCAGCAGCCATGGTTCTACATGGAAGATACTGATTGGTTATGGGGGAGGGTAGTAAGTTCAAAGGCAAAATAGTTCCATTTCTATTAAAATTTTGGTTTGCTAGGATGGTTTCAGGTCTCTACTCAAAACTTATTAATGTTCCAATTAAATAATACCCACTAGAGCTGGAAGTAAAACTGTGTGAAGCTCTGGCCACTTTTACATTACATTTAATAAACTGTGCTTAAGTCAAGTACCACATACTTAATACCTCGGAACCAGTGACTTTGAGGCTCTTTCCTACTATTTAAGAACACAAGCGGGGCGCCTGGGTGGCTCAGCGGTTGAGCATCTGCCTTGGGCCCGGGGCATGATCCCGGAGTTCTGGGATCGAGTCCTACTTCCTGCATGAGGCCTGCTTCTCCCTCAGCCTATGTCTCTGCCTCTCTCTCTCTCTCTCTCTCTCTCTCATGAATATATAAAGTCTTAAAATAAATAAATAAGAACACAAGCATTGTGGGTGTCTTTCATTTCTAAGAAAACAATTCTACCTCAGAAGCCTGAGTGCCACATGACTGTATAGCTCCCCCTACCTGGGGTATGGTGGGCAGGCAGAGCACAGACCATCCTGCCCATGCTGGGAATGAAGTGCCATGTGCCACTCACCCTGGGGAAAGGTGGATGCCATGCCCACCGTGTACTGTCAGTGGTCAGCCACCACATGCTGCCTCCTACACAAACACATGCAGAACACCTGCTGTGGTTCTCAGGGAGGCCGCCAGAAGCCACCTAGCCCATAACCAAACCAAAACACAAGATGGTATTAAAGGAGCCCTAAGCCAGAATCTCCTAGGAAATGCCTGTAAACCTCGAACACCTCCCTTCCCAAGGTTCCCAAGGGGAGGGACAAGGGGAGCTGTGGGGCCAAGCTGAACCCATGGTGGGTGCTCAGAGAAGGTAGGACAGACAGAATCCCTGGGCAGCTCTGTTAGCCCAGACGGCCCTGAGGACCTCTGACCCTGCTTCACGAGACCCCACCTCCAGCACCAGCACCAGCACGGTCTGTTTGGTTGTTATTTGCTCCTGCTTACTCTCCACGTGCCACTGGGCTGGAGAAGTGGAATCACGGATGGAGCACACAGTATAAACATCATGCACACATGACCTCGCTGTAATTATCTGTTTGATCAAGAGAAAACCTAATTGTCTTCTAAAATGTCTCGGTCCCTGGAATATAGATTTCTTAAGCCTGGGGAATCATTTCTTTAAACCTATGAAGTACTCTATCAATATGTTCACTCCGGGGACAGTGCATGGAGGCTGCTGGGAAGCACTACTAGAGAATATTAAATTCTGTCTCAGCAATGCTTAATGTTCAATTTCTCATAACCCTGGGTGATACATAGTTGGTTCCAGAGTATCAGCTTTTCTGTTCTTATTATGTAACTGAGCTGTCTCACGGTTCAATGATTTTCAAATATTAATGAAGGAAGAACTCCAGAGTGAGTTAACAAAGCCAGCAGTATCTCGGCTCTATCAGCAGAAGGTATTCCAACTCTCAGCTCAGAATGTTAAGAATCACAGAAACACAAAGGGGCCCCAAGGGAAACTCCCCTCATCAGGGTTTTGGTGCTTCAGGCTAGGAGTTGGGGGCGGGTCACGAGCCTAGTTTGATAAAACCCTTCTCCTGACGAAAAGCATAGGCAATTGTTGAGGGGCACCAAAGCCTGCTTCTGTACCCAACAGGAAGAGCACAGAGATGAACCCAGGTCTTGAGAATGATAGAAAAACTCATCCAGTCAGCAATCTCCATCAGAAGAGACAACAAACCTCCTCTGATGCAAATCAAGGCACTTTGCAGAGCACTTTCCTGGTTTCAGCTCAAGAAGAGAAAGAGCAGAGCTCTAAGGAGAAAATCTTTCCCTTCACAAATAGAAACTAGAAAGTGAACACCACCTGTTCCCCCAACAACTCCTATCTGTTCTCTTTCGGGGTGTGCACACGCGGCATCACCGGGCTGGTCACAGTACTCTGAGTCACCCACTGCTAATGCCAGTTTCAAGCTCCAGAAACGAGACAGAAATGCCTCCCCACCTGCAGCAAAGGCAGAACACATCACAAAGAACATTCCAACAGCGATCCTTTTTAGGGATGACGGGAGTAAGCCATGTCTTCTCAGAATGGGATCAACCAGTTTATCCTTCAAGGGAATTAACAGGAGGATGAGAACCGCGTCGAACATGGTCAGCCAGGCCGCGGGGAACTGGAATCGAAACACACGAGATAAGGTTAGTTCTCCGAAAGAGTAAGTTGTCACTTATCTCATAACTCATATAACTGGGAGAATCTTTATTCTAGAAGAGTCCATTATTAGCGTATAACCTCCTAGGGAAAAAGCCTCACTTTCAAGACGTTGGAATTGAAAAAGATTTTCATCTCTAAGTGCATTTACATTTGTTCTTCTGTGCTTTTAGGGAGAAAAAAAATCAGATAGGAAATTAGTGTTTGACATCGGTCAACAATCTAATAAACAACATGGCCAATAGAAGAATAGTCCCTAAAAGAAGAAGTTCCATTCCAACGAGAATACTGCTGGTTCATGCAACCGCTGATATTTGTGAAGGACCTAACCTGGCCGAAGGAACCTGCCTGTTACATAAGCTCTGCATGACAATTTTCAGATCGTTTCAGTTATTCTCACCGTATGAGGAGTGGCTGTAATACTGGATATTGCTGGAATCTTCAAATGAAGACTCTGCAGAACATACGTTGTCTGCATCTGGGTGTAAAAAGTGGTATTTGTTACAAGAGGGAACACTCCAGCATGCTGCCCACCCCCAGACCGCTCCGTGAGGACATGCACATGGCTGGGGTCTGAAAACAGATCAATTATTTAGTCATCGTACAAGTCATCTGGAGATCAACTTTGGAAAAGAAATAACAGAGGAACTAAACTCAAAGTCGGGGCCTGGAAAAACAGAAAGGCACCCATTCTTAGCTTCTCTCATGGGAAGGTTCTCAAAATGCCCAACTCAGCAGAAGTGAGTTCCACGACTGGAAACAGGACTGCAAGATCCCAGAGACTCTCGGAAAGGACACCACAGCACCCTTGCACTCCAGTGGTGGCCAAAGCGAGCGTGGGGACAGAAAGTAATTTTCACCCGACTATCACCACTCACTTGAAAGTACACTGTCCAGTACGGTATCAAAGCCAAGAAAACAGGGATGATCTTCACAAGGGCCTTCACGTCCTCCACTGTGTCTTCTGAAAACGGCCCTCCACGAGACCTCTTACATGAATCAAACAGACTGTGTTTAGAAGAGTGCTGAAGGACTCCAAGGCCTTCACTTTGGGAGATAAAATGAAGGAGTTAGTTTTCTTCCACCCCTAGAAATCAAGTACTTGGCAACAATTTAAGTTCGGAGGCAGGAAGCCAGCTTACTATACCGATCTGCTTTAACGCCATCCTATTCCTGACTGACCGCACACACTGAATACAGCAACCTAGGCTAGCCGGGAACACAGCACTGTGGACACAGCTGGCAGAGGGTCCCATCTGGAAGCACACCCATGCCTCCTGCCTCTGGACGAGGGTATAGACACAGCACGACTGTTCGGAACATGACTGCACTCTTCCCCAGCTCCGCTCACTCAGGCTGAGAAAGACCTACCATCTCACCTGAAGCTGCCCGCTACTTCAGCTACATCGCTGGATTAGTGTTTGAGGAAAAAAAAAAGGGGGGGGGGGGCTGGATTGTTTGGATCTTGAATCACGTGGCTTTTTCAAATGTGAAAACTTCACAACCATAATACCGGTGCTGTTAATAGAGGCATTTATTTAAATGCAGCCACTGATAGGACCATAAGGAAAGGTTCTGCTCTGGCAGGGAAAGCTGTGATCATGATGGTAACATGCCAATGTCACTGGCAGCAGGTGGCACTCAGTGCTTGCTCATTAGCCTGGACCGTGCCCCTGTGAGGCATCAAGACCAGCTTATGGGCCCCAGGGCAGAGAACTGGGGCTGGAATTTGAGCCAGGCAGCCCAGGGCACACTACCTGCCCCTCTGCTCCCTGGCCACAAGCATCACCCTCATGCTCAGGTGTGTTGGTTGTGTTGAACCTTGTGGTCCTGGCTCATGCATTAGCGGCTGCACCTGCTCACTTATGCTAGGACAGTTTCATTAATTATAAAATGAGCAGGTCCCAGTGGATAGCTCCAAAACACTCTATTGGACATGTATGCTTAGGTTCTTAGGGACAAAACAAAACAAAAATTGTTTTTTTTTTTTTTTTTTAATTTTTTTTTTAATTTATTTATTTATGATAGTCACAGAGAGAGAGAGAGAGGCAGAGACACAGGCAGAGGGAGAAGCAGGCTCCATGCACTGGGAGCCCGATGTGGGATTCGATCCCGGGTCTCCAGGATCGCGCCCTGGGCCAAAGGCAGGCGCCAAACCGCTGCGCCACCCAGGGATCCCCAAAAATTGTTTTATTTGCCAACTATTCTCTAAAACTAGAAATACTAGGACATAATTACCATTAAGAATTCTTCCAATTCTGGGATGCAGCTATACATGGCAGTTGTCTGCTTTTCAGTTTATAAACGCCTATCCAAAGTAACTAAGTTACTACTATTTTAAATCGTTTTTGTCTTATAACATTGACATTTTTTCATCTGAATATTCAGAGTGGGGGGGAGATAACCAAAAAACTGAAACCACAACTTAATATTTTAGCCAAATTTTGCATAGGACAACTAAATTCAATTCAACAAATATTTATCGAGCATATACTCATTATGCCCAGGTCTGTTATGCCTGCATGCTAGAGATACACAAATAAATTTTAAAAAGATACTACTCCACTACTCGCATCATATGTAGCTTATCTAGTAAGGAAAAATTATCAGGAAAACCACACACTCAAAGAGAAACTCTAAACTCCAAAAATACTATTCATACTGTTATTTGAAAGTATTCACAGCTTCTCCATTTTTGGCCGGGGGTGGGGGGGCAAAAAAGAAGAATATGTGAAGTCCTTATATAACTATTACAGATACAATCAGTGACTTACTACATCATACTACATGTGTTTCTCTAAAAACATGTCAAAGTCAAGTAACCAATCCATTTTTACACATAGAATCACTCAGACATGTTACTGGTTACATTACTTACTTTGTATCATTAAAATATTCTGGGAAGTACTAAGTCCACATGCACTTCAGGCTCTCCCTACCTCATACACATGGCTAGTGTATTATTATGAATACACAAGGGTCCAACATGGAGCCACAGACACAAATGACATGGAACAGATAGGACCAAATGGCGACCTAGCTCCACAGGGCCACTGCCCCCCTAGAACTGTCTGCAGAGGCTCTATGTGCACAGAGGCACTCTCCCAGGAAGGGGCGGGGGGGGCTACTAATTCTCAGATTCTCAACTCAAAGAAGTATCCATCTCAAAAAAGGTTTAGAACTATTCCCAGTCAGATGAACTGAACAGATGCACATGGATGTCTCACGTAAAATGAGTGTTAAAACTAATCTTCGAGACACCTATACCAGCAAGAAACCAGAACTGGGCCAGATGAAGGAAACAATGGCTGATGTTGCACCTCTGTAGGTTTTTGGAGCCGACTTTCTGCAAGAATATCCTAACCAAGTAGTTCATATCAATGGGGCTCTCATTACGGACCAGGCATTCCTGAGAACTGCACACACTTCAGTTTCTCAGGCCTCACGATAACCGTGTGAGATGAACCCCACATCCACTGTACAAAGAGAGAATGCAGGCTTGGCAAGATCATTAACCTGTCCAAGATCACAGAGCTCAGAGTCTGTGTACCAGGAGAGCATAACGTGAGAATTCTCTGGACCACTGACCTCTCTGCAAGATCATCCTTTTTATCTTAACTGTGCCAGTCGTCAAAAACAAATCTACAGGGAAATCAGATTCTGAAGTAGAAGTGCGGATCTTTCTCGTCATGACATCTGTGCACTTAAAACCCAAAAATGTCCATGAAGCAGGACTGTCCTCTTGCAGAAATGTCTACCAGGTACCACCCAGACAGACACACTGAAACTTTAAAGGCTGTTCCTTCAAAAGGATGCATTTTGCTCATGAGTAATCAATCTACAGAACAAACATCTGGGCCATGAAACCCTACTTCTGCCTAGTTGAAGCAAGGCTCTGGCAAAGCAGCAGGAAGGCAGCACTATTTTAATGCTCAAAAATTTGTTGGTGTGGTGCCACCATTGTGGTTCTGAATGAGGAGTCTGAGTGCCACACTGACCCACAAGGATGCCAGGACTGGCTGGGAGATTGGCGGGAGCTCCGTGCGGGGACAGCTGAGGAACCAGAGTAGCCTGGAGCCAAGGGGCACAGCCACAAGAGCTATTCTGGTACAGCTTCAAACCTACTGCGTGGAAGCAGGTATTAGACATTCACAGGACTCCAAGGGCATACGTAAGATACATGCGGACCAGCCACAAAGGGGCAGAACTTTCCTGCAGCCAGGGCCCCCCGAGCAATGAGCGTGCTGCCCTGACAGCAGCTAAATGGTTAGCCTCTGGGTCAGGGACTGACCACCCCTCAGGAATGCCTACTTTGATCAAAGTATTACTTGAGGAGGGTCAACTATAAAGGTTCCCAGGAACTTCTCTAGGGTGATGGAAATATTCTATATCCTGAGCGCTAGGTGGTTGCACAATCACATAAGGCTGTCATAATTCCAGAACAGTAAAGTTGAGAAGCTTGCACTGCACGTGGATTATGCTTCAATAACAAACACCAAAATTGTTGAAGTCTCTTCTCAGGCTAAATTCTGGACTTTCCTCTATTAATATGCAGCTGGGGTGACCTACCACCTGTCCCTATTTGTCTGGGACTTCCCAAGGATGTGGGGCTTTCGGTGCTGAAACAAGGAAGTCCCACACAAAGGGGATGGTGTAGTTCCCCTGCCTGCATCTCAAAACTCTGCTCTTATGTCCTTCTGTCACAGAGTGGCTGCAGTGACCACGGGATGACAGGCCCAATCTAACCCACTCAGTGGCCCACTCAGAGTAGGAACAGCTTACTATTTAAGGAACACAGAGAGGTACCTACAAAGCAAACAACTGCTTGATTTTTCATTCAAATGAATTTCAAAGCTTTTTAAAATACAAAGAGAAATGTACACTGTATGTGTAGTGTCTCTCCCATGCTCTGCCAATTTCTTTATAGAAGCAAGAGATCCGTCCAAATCAGCAGTAAGAGGAAATTCAACGTGGAAGTTAGACACCAAAAGTCTGCCTCTATGAGGAGAACAGACACCTTACAGCACCTTCTCAAACTGATGTGGGACATTGAAACCCACTGGCCCAGTTCCCTGCACACAGTAAGCCTGCGTCAGACACACACGAGTACTTTATTGACAGCAATGGGGAAGTCGTGTTAGGTGAAGCCTATGATCATAACCTGGTACTTACCCACTCTGACTGTGTTCTCCGATTCGCTTCTGGGGACGACACGAATATGCCAGTATCTTGAACACATAGGTGAAGGCACTGCCATCGGGAGGCTTGGTGATAAAGACGCTCTGGCCGCAGAGGAAGACCAGGAAAGCCACGCCAATGCAGACAGCTGGGATGAGGTAGCCAGTCACAAAGCCCACGTTCTGCTGAATATAGGCAATGCCTCCCAGTGAAATGATTGCTCCCAGATTAATGCTCCAATAAAACCAATTAAAAAACCTTCTCGTGGCTTCTGGACCTCGGTCTTTAACCTAAAACAACAGGGAGGAAACAGATTTTAAAACATGGTGATCTTCAAGGATGGAAAGCCTGTATAATGTGGGCACCTGGATAGCTCAGTTGGTGAAGCGTCTGCCTTTGGCTCAGGTCATGATCTCAGAGGCCTGGGATCAAGTCCTATGTTGGGCTCCCTGCTCAGCAGGGAGTCTGCTTCTCCCTGTCCCTCTGTGTGCCTGCACGCACTTGCTCACATGCACGCGTGCTCTCTCATTTTCTCTCTTGCTGTCTCAAATAAATAGATAAATCTTGAAAAAAGAAAAAAAAGGAAAGAAAAAGAAAAGCCTGTATAATGAAGTGACTAAGGTCACTGGAACACAATCGACTGGTGTTTACAGATACATTCAGTGTCCCTGACAAAGGAGCACCCTGTAACTTCCAATCACTATACTTTCTGGATAGTGTTTTTCTTAATTATGCTTAAATCCAAGAAATCCAAGAGAGTTTCTCAAAGTAACATCTGGGGACCGCCTTCTCTGCAAACACCGGAATGCTCCCTAAAAGTGCTGATTCACAAGCCTCTCTGGCCAGAGCTAATGAGTCATCATCTCTGGGATTCGGACCCAGGGATTGGCCCTTTAAACATTTTCCAGGCAACTTCTGCTCACAGGTAAGCTTTAGAACCACTGCTATAGAGCTCCACGCACAAAGGAAATTCCAGACTGAAACTAACCCTATATACTCTTTCAGACCAGGAAGGCTATGGAGGGAATCAGAAGACATTCTGGTAAGGACAGAGATTCCTGGAGGCTTCAACAATCCCTCACCTCCTGAACTTCGACAGAAGTAGGGGGTAACACTGTTCACAACTGCAACGGGCCCCACGGTGCTGGTGGCACTCCACGTGGGGACAGGCGCCCCACACACCTTACCTTCTTGCCATGACATCCACACATCTGCCACCTCTACACTAGCTGGTGATCTCATACAATTTCTAAACCAGCTTACTAGCTAAAGGCTGACACTAGATTGCATACAAAGGCTGTCCTAGGAACCTCTGTTGTCTCCTCCTTACAAGTTACAAAAAGGGGGATTTCTATTTCAGTCACAGATGTGACGTGTTCCATGAAGCAGTCCCCACCTGCAGAGCACAAAGAAGGTTACCCATGGGGGCCCAAAGAACCAAGGGCCAGATATAAAAAAGCACCTTGTTAGCAGTCACATAACTTGATACAATACTGTAAGCTCTATTTTTTGAGATCAAAATACAGGTAGAAAACAGTCAAAATTGTGTGCTCCTTAAAAGAAAAAAAATACAATCCAAAAGGATTAAATGTGGCTGTGTTGACAAGAGACATGCTTAAGATAACGACATGGTAACCAGCACCCCAAACTGAAAATCTGAGTTTTAAATAAACCACAGGTTTCAGGAGGAGCTTTGACTCTAGCCTATGTCAGATCTGGGTAGAGGTCCTAGACCAAATGCTGGCATGATGAATGAGTGACTCACTCTGGGAATTTCTCTTATTTCTAAGACAGCTCTTCATGGGGACACGATGTATATGAATGGTACTAAACTGGACACAAACATTCACTCTATCCTAGAGGCAGATCAGAGGAAAGAAACATCATAAGCAGAGAAGTGGTTACAGGGAAAATATAACTAAAGATATAAAACCCAGTAATGGGGTGGGGGGGGTGCTCAGCAAGTCTTAAAGGGAAGAGAGCCGTAAACAGACCATCTAAAATTATACAGACAACATACGTATTGGCTGAAGTACATCAGGCCCTTCCCACCGCCTGTGTCAGTACTGCGCACATGGTCCTGTGTGAACTTGGCAGTCCCTGTTTTGAACGTCCAAGTGTAATTCTCCAATGTTACTTAAGAAAATGAAGCCTCTTACTAAGGCCTCAGATAACCACATACCCGTGATTTTTTTTTTCTTTCCACAAATGGGAAGCTGGCTCCTATAAACTGCAAATCACATGCTTCTGTGCCCTGAGCTGGCAAGCCCACTGCCAGTCACATTACATCATCATCCGATCATCCGCGCAGGGACCTCCTGCCCTCCCTGGGAGAAGGTAAACAAGCCTCTCATGTGACCAGTCAGCAGATGCAGCTGCCGTTAGTTCAGAAAAGCACAGCTAAAACAGGATGGTGTACAGTAAGTCAGACAAGTTGGCTGGTTTGGAAAAATTCCTTAAAATGCACAAAACTGCCACTTTTTTCCCCACTATAAAAAAAAGTTGTATGATTTGCTTTCTGCATCTGTAAAGTAAGCTTTTCTTCTTTCAGTTCACTATTTTGAAAGGACAGTGTGACCTTTGAAACAGGCAATGCACCGGGGAGGATGCAGGGGCTGGCACGATTTGCATCAGCCCGGATCACCTTGGACTCCTTAGTGGCCTACCTGCTGTCCCAGGTCAGCAGAGGCCTCCCAGAGCTGTATAGCCTGCGCCCGCTCATCTCTCGCTCAGAATGTTCCCTAAACGTCCCATGTTGGAGATAAAGGGGGAGTGACAGAGAAGCCTAAGAAGTACCTCAGAAACACAGTGGCTTCCGGAAAACAAGGGGAGCCAAGAGATGAGGAGCTAATTTCCTCTGAGGACCAGCCCAGACCCAGGTCTTGGGAGTCAACCCCCTGCCCCCACACACATACAGACAGCCCCTGGCATGGAGCAGGCACCCTGGCTGAAGGGTACCCACATTTCCCTTCTAAATGCTTTTCACTGATACAGTCCACACAGAAGAGTCAACCTTTTTTTTTTTTTTTAATTTTTATTTATTTATGATAGAGAGAGAGAGAGAAAGAAAGAGAGAGAGGCAGAGACACAGGCAGAGGGAGAAGCAGGCTCTGTGCACCGGGAGCCCGACGCGGGACTCGATCCCGGGTCTCCAGGATCACGCCCTGGGCCAAAGGCAGGCGCCAAACCGCTGCGCCACCCAGGGATCCCGAGTCAACCATTTTGAAACGTACAGCTCCCAGGTTTTCAGCCGACCCACACTTGAGCAACCACAAGCACTATCCAATTCCACATTTCATCACACCACTTCCCATTCCTTGTCCACTGCTCCCCACTACCATTCCTCTTCCAGTCTTTATGGATTTGCCCATTCTGGGCACTTCTGTACAAGAGGAAGGAGAGAATGTGTGTTCCTTCATGTCTGGCTCTTCCCCTTGGCATGGTGTTTTCAACGTTCATCCCCACTGTAGCACGTACCAGCGCTCAGGGTGGAGGGATGGCCCACTGTACCATCTATCTATGCATCATGCAAGGACATCTCCACTTTTTACTTACATGCTTTAATCTCACGCAAAAGTTGAAAGAACAGTAAAGCATACACTTTTATATACACTTCACTTAGCTTCTTGGTTCTCTCTTTCTCTAGATTCAAGGACGTTATACTTGAGAAACAAAGGCAATGTGTGTGTCCTGATTGGATTCCCGGTGTTTTTCATTTATAAATGAAATACTCTTGAGGCTTAATGATTTAAAAATAAATTGCAGCATGATAACATTTCACCCCGTATGAATCTAAAAATAAAGCCACTCTTCTACATGACCACAAACCATTATCACACCCAAGAAATTGAACATCAATGCCATTTTATCTAATGTGTGGTCTATCATCAAATTATCCCAATTGTCCCTCAAAATGGCTTTAAAAACAAAACAAAACAAAACAAACCACCAGGGATCCAATCAGGACACACACATCGCCTTTGTTTCTCATGTCTAACATCCTTGAATCTAGAGTGGCCCTGTTTCTTTCAGGATAGTGTCATATTTGAAGAGATTAGCCCAGTTAACTCATAGAAGAGAGCACTTTTTTTTTTTTAACGTCGACACATTATCACACATCCTGTCATGCATTCTCGATAGCCTCTATAAGACCACTGCTTCCTTTATGAAATGTTAATTGCTCATCCATCATGGACTGGAGACAACTGACTTCATGTTGGCCTGCCCAGGTCCAAACACAGCTCCTAATTGCCCTGCTGTGCTTCTGGGCCGGTCAAACGTCCTCAGCCTGTGTTAAGATAGACACATGCAGTCTGTAGAGTGTCCTGAGGCTACGAGAAGGCAAAGTAACAAGTAGAGTGAGGACACGACAAACATTCACGTGGCACGTGGGCCGTGTCTTTCAACGGGCTTCACTGCGCTGCCAATGCTGTGCCTTCACTGATGACACCCAAGACGGAAGCCACAAGCCTGGGCTCTGAGACCCAACTATGACCCAGCTGTGCTAGGCAGGTCTCAGGAAGCACATCTCGAAGCCATGGTTAAAACAGAGGTCAGGAAATCAGACCCGGACTGCAACCGTGGCTTGCCCACTCACCAAGAGAAGTCATCTTTTGTACCTCCGCCTCCTTGGGGGGATTCAATGAGGTCATGTGTGTAACACATGCTCGTTTCCTGGTGCAGAGAAGAATTTGGAACGTGAGGCAGCGATCTCTCAACATCACTGAGATTCAGCAAGGCGCCACCTCACTGTAAAGGGTAGCCCGACAGGGTCCACTTAAAGCTCAGACTAAGGACAGGCGCCTGCATCCTGGCTCGGTCAGGCACTAGCTGTGTGACTTTGGGCAAATGATTCACCTCTCTCAAGCCTTATGTATAAAATGGGCACAAGAGCAGCAGCAGCAGCAGCAGCGTCATGACCCCTGATGGAGCGCGGAGAGAGGGCCTGGAGAACAGTAAGCCGTAGGACGACCGTCACGTGAAGTCCAGCACAAACACCTGGGGATCATCTTCCCTGCGGCTGCCGACTCCACCTCCACCCTCTTCACTGTGTCCATTCGACCCACCTCCGTCCAAATCCCTCTCTGTGACCCGGCCAGCACGATGGGCTCCGTTCTGGTACGCCTGTGGTCCTCACTTCCCTCCCTAGTCTCCTCCACGCATCGCAAACTTCTTCTGCGAACGGGCGGGGCGCAAACATTCTAGGTACTGAGTCGAGAGACATCTGGCCTTTGTCACGGTTCCCCAGTTGTGCTACTGCAAGGTGAGCGCGGCCGGCCGCTGCACAGCTGGTGTGGGACCAGCAGGCCGTGACTGTTCCGATGAAGCTTTAATTATGGAGACCGACATCTGAGTCTCATAAAAATCTTCCCCCCGTCACAGGAGACTGTGCTTTTTCCCTAACCTGCTCGCAGCCCAAAACAGGAAGTAGACCAGATTTGGCTGCCGGGACACAGCTGCTGGGCACAGCTGCGCTCTGGGGGACCTGCTTCTAGAAGACCCCGCTCCAGGCTGCAAACCCACAAAAGCTTCCTGCTGTACTCAAAACGCACCTCCAAGCCTTTTTAAAAGCTCCACGGGACCTGGCCTCAGCCTGCCAGTCCTTTCCCACGTCTGTGTTTCTTTTCTTTTCTTTTTCACATTTTTATTTATTTATGATAGTCACAGAGAGAGAGAGAGAGAGAGAGAGAGAGAGAGAGAGAGGCAGAGGGAGAAGCAGGCTCCGTGCACCGGGAGCCCGACGCGGGACTCGATCCCGGGCCTCCAGGATCGCGCCCTGGGCCAAAGGCAGGCGCCAGACCGCTGCGCCACCCCGGGATCCCCGCGTGTTTGTTTTCTTGCAACATACTTGCCCTATAACCACCGTGCGTTGCCCTAAGCCGCGTACCCTCCGTGTTGACTTGACAGGGATGCGCCGTGGCCTGAGCGTCGTCACCCAGGGTCCCGGGATCGAGCCCCGCGCAGGGGAGGGGGGGGGGCTGCTCCTCCCTCTGCCTGTGTCTCTGCGTCTCTTTGTGCCTCTCGTGAGCAGATAAATAAAATCTTAAAAAAAAAAAAAAAAAAAAGGGGGGGGGGTGGGGGGAACCGGAGCGTCGCCCCTTGCCGGCCCCGCGGCTCTGCGCCTGAGGCCGACGTCTCCCCGGAGGCCCGCGCTCACCTGGTCGGCCCCGAAGGGCGTGACGTTGGCCTTGACGGCGCCCACGCCGAGGCCGACGAGCGCCAGCGCCGAGAGCGCGGCCGGGGCGCAGTAGCGGGCGGGCGCGTCGGGGCAGGGCGGCGCGGAGCAGTTGCGGACGCGCGTGGGGCGCGGGGCCCCGCAGAGCGCGGCGCGGGGGGCGGGCGCGGCCAGCAGCGGCAGGGCCAGCATGCCCAGCAGGTAGAGCGCCAGGCTGAGCAGGATGGCGCGCGCGCGGCCCAGCTGCGCGTCGGCCAGCCAGCCCCCGAACGGCGACACCAGGTAGGCGAGGCCCACGAAGAGCAGCAGCGCCTGGCTGGCCTGCGCGCCCTCCCAGCCGAACGGCGCGCCGTTCAGGAACAGCACCAGGTTGGCCGTGACGCCGTAGAAGGCGGCGCGCTCCAGCAGCTCCGTCAGCAGCACGGCCGCGCACGCCGCCCGCCGGCCCGCGAACGCCCCCCGCCGCGCGCCCAGCAGCGGCGCCCGCTCGCCCGCCGCGCCCTCCATGCGCCCGCCGCCACCGGGCCGCCGGGCCGCCGCGGCCGCCGCCCTTCTCGCGAGACCCGCCCGACGCGCGCCCCTCTCGGCGGCGGCGCCGCCGCCCTTCTCGCGAGACCCGCCCGGCCCCGCCCCCGTGGGCCGCGCGCCGCCGGCAACTTCCGTTTCCGCCCGGAAGCCCGGAAGCCCGGAAGCCCGGCGGGGCGGGGCGGGGCCGGGCGGGGCCGGGCGGGCGGCTTCCGCCCGCGCTCCCACCTCCTCCTCCTCCTGCCCACAGCCCCGGCTCCAGGGGCGCCCGCTGCACCTGCGACACGCCACGGCCGCTCCGGCCTCGCTCCGGCCTCCGGGCCAGCCGAGCGGTGGGCGCGCAGGTAGGGAGCCTTCCTTCCCCGACGCTTCGGCGGGCGGCTTTGCGCCTCCTTTCGTTCTCCCGATCGCGTACCCCCTCGACCGCCGCCCGCCTCGGGGCTGGCACACAGCAGGCGGTAGGGAGCGTGACCCGAGGGAATCGCGGGGCGCTGGGGGCTCCGCTCCGGCTGTGATGCGGGCCCGGGATCGAGCCCCGCGTCGGGCTCCCTGCATGGGGCCTGCTTCTCCCTGCGCCTGGGTCTCTGCCCCCCACCCCCTGTGTGTGTGTCTGCCCCCCCACCCCCCCCCTCTCTCTGTGTGTGTGTGTGTGTGTGTGTCATGAATAAATGAATAAAATCTTTTTAAAGTAAAAAAAAAAAAAAAAAGAGGAGCCCTTGCGCCCTGGTGGGACCTTCACCCACTGTCCATCCGTTCATGCTCGTCACTCTCACTTCTGAAGCTCAGACGTCCCGTTTCCGACCCTCCCAGGAGAGAGGGCACATCCCTTCCCATAGGTCCTTGGAGCGCCCTGCACCTTTTTCTCCACGGCAGCGTTTGAATTCATGATCGTATATTCTGCAAAAATGACCTAATGTGTCTCCAGACCTGCGAGGGGTGGGGGTGGGGATTTCTTTGTCCGTTCCCCGCCCGTCCAAGAATCCAGCACAAGTCCTCGCAGGCGGTAAGTACGTGTGGAACCGAACAAATGAATATTTGCTGGTTTTTTTAAGTGGTGCCAAAAGGAGATTTTATGTTCGATTTTTTTTTTTTTTTTTTTTTGGGGGGAACTTCCCTGATGTTCTAGAGCATACATTAGGTCTCCTAGTTTAGCTGAAAGGCAAACCGCTTAAGATCAGCTGTCTGGGATCATACGCTCAGTAGAGCGGAGTCTTCGATGAAAAGGCTTTTACGTAATTCCTCGCACAAGGCTGCTGCCGCCTCTTCCACATTCTGGCCGGAATCTGAGACAGAACCTCCAAGTGTGTGCTAAAAGGCTGATAAAAAAAACTGACACTCCCAGGCAAAGTGCAGAGTGAATAGGGGATAAAAGTTAAGCCACTTGACTTGGCGTGTGATGACTTAGCGCGAAGCTCTGGCCAGTGCAGATGTGCCATTTCAGATGACGGCGACGAGACTGAGTTGGATTATCTCGGCTAAGAAGCACAAAGCTAAGTGGGCAAAGCCGGAGTTCAGGATGTATACCCTAGGAACGGACTTTGAGCACTTCCTCTCGTGGGTAAGGAAAACCAGCCGCACACTGCAGTCTCGGACACCGTGACGTTGCAGAACAGTCCGGTAGGAAGAAACGGTTTGGTTTGGCTGCCTTGTTTCCGAAAAGCCAAACCGGGTCTGTGACTTGCTCTGGTAAGGGGAACGTAGTGGAGTATCCCTGGGCCAGGTCTGTCCCTAAGCCTTAGGAAGGCCTGGAAGCTTCTGCTTTTGTGTCTTCAAAGCCATGAGCCACCACGTAAGAAGTCCAGGCACCTTGCTGGAGAGACCTTATCGAAGAAGACCCCGCAATCAAGTCCAGAGGTGGTCGCCCTCACCCCCAGCCGACCTGCCCGCTGAAGGAAGCTACATAGGTCATCAGCAGCAAGATCAGCAGAAATTGCCCCAGCTGAGCCTCAAACCAGATTACAGAATTGTGAACAAATGAAATACTTGTTACTCCAAATCGCTAAGATCAGGGCAGGATCGTTAGGCAGCATCAGGTAGCGGAAATACGCATCTTCTCCCCGTGGCCACAATCTGCTGACACCAGGTAGCAGCCACTGTCTCATGTGGGGCACATACTCTACTTTTATCTGAAGCCTGCTCACTCGCTGCTGTCATATCTTCTTGCTGCAGAGAAGTTTTCTCTCTGCCTGTCTGGTGCAGCAGCCGCCAGCCACGTGTGGCTGTTCGAACTTAAATTACCACAAGTTTAATAAAATGAAACATTTTGTGCCTCCGTCACACCTGCCACATTTCAAGTGCCCAGTAGCCTCCTGTGACTGGTGGCCACCATGGTGAACAGCACAGTATACATCACCCCACCGCAGAAATGTCTGTTGGGTTGGTATAAGCACTGCCTTATACTAACGCGCAGTGGGCACCACACCCTTGATTACTACTTGTCCAACACGCACACCCTCCTGTCCTTCCAAAGAGAATCCCGATTCCATTCAGCTGTCTATCTATTCTCAATTTGCCCTCACCCCACCTTGCTCCCTACCATTTATCTATGTATCCACGTAGCTATCCATGTAGCTCAGGAGAAGCTGACTTCATCTTTGCTTCTAAATCTGACTATTCAAAGCCAATGCTAGTGTCCCATACCTCTTCACAGTGACTGGTTGGGAAACCCAGACTGCAGCCATTCAAGACAAATTCCCGCAGGGCCCAGCAGAGGACAGATAACATAAAGTGGCCCAGTCGGGCTAGAAGAAAGGACTTGTTCCGTGACTGCAAAGAAGACACACTCTTCAAACGGGGCATGGATTCACGAGCCTAAATCCCTAATTGCTGCTGGCAGCTGTCTCACAAGCACGAGAGGAACCAGCTCGGGACGTGGATGGCACAGAAAATCAGGGAGAAGTTAGATAGTAAAAGAGCATAAATCCTACCCTGTTCAGGCCACTGTGTTGGGTTTTCTGTTACTTGTAGCCGCAAGCCACCTGTCATGATTCTATCAAAAAGCAGGGAAACAAAAGAATAAAAGAAGGCAGCCTTAGAGTTTCTGCCTGGCCTGTGTAACCAATGTGTTCGCAGCTCCTGTGCTAAGCCCCAAGGATTGTAACGCTAAACTGACGTGAGTTGACTCCCCGCTTTATGGCGTACACTTGTAATATGCCCGTGTTAATGAAAGTGATCATGGGAGTCTCTCTTTGGCTGTCGAAATAAATACGTAAATGACCTGACTGAAACAGCTGGTGTCTGGGGATAGGTAACATTACCTTGCAGAGTATATTTCTGTGGGCTGTCTCCGCCTCAAGGGCCCTCTGGGAAAGAGGACCTTTCTGCAAGAATGCTTGCAGTGTGGGCGGAAATGCAGCATGGACTCTAAGACTCTGGGCCCTTCCTTCTCTATCACCGCCTATCCCCTGTTCTTGCTCAGTGTCGAACCCATAGGAGATGCTATCTGATGGAGTGAATTCAGAAACCGATGAGGAACTGAGGACATTTCAGGGGCTGTCAACTCTCTCACGGTATTTCTGCTTCTCATTTCACGTCAGCATGGCTCAGCCCTTGCCACCACACAGCCGCGTCTGCTTATTCAGTTTCAGCTTCCTCAAAACTTTGGTTCACAGGTAGGCGTTATGGATGTCCTGTACCATCTGTGTGTCACTCACCAACTCTTCTCCACATGTCAGCTCGGCTCAATGTCAGCACTCGTGGCCGATGCTGCTTCTGGCTCTCCGGTTGCATCCCAGGGATCACAAGAGGCCCAGCTCGTCTCTGTGTGCCAGGCTGTGCTATGAGGCATTAGGCTGCATTCGAGTCAGGCCATCTTGTCCATCTTTTGACTCTCCTTAGATATGGAGTAGTCATAATTTCTGTTTATTTCAGGGAGTCCCCGTTGTAATAGTTTTGTCTGGCTGAAAGTGGAGGTAGAAACAGAAAATAGAAGTAAAAACAGAGTCAGCCCGTGGGACAGAGTTAGGCCTTAAATTCCCAAGTGCAAAACAAAGCCACGCTAACCTGCTGTTGTGTGGATTCATTAGGTCTCACAATGACTTGTGTTTTATTTTTACAGGGGAGGTGAGACTGTGTGGCCAGGATGGGTTTCGGTTTGACTTTTTTCACTCATTTTCTTTGATCCTTGTTAGTAGCAGCCTCTTTGGGTTCCTTTTCTCCTGTGCTTTAAAAAAACTGTGAGACTTCTGCAAGAGGCAGGCATTCACCTACAGAAAGAGGGAGGCAGGAGAGAGAGTAGGTGAAAGAAAAGGGACTTCTGCTTCCTTCTGTTTGAAGACGTGCAAGACGCAGGACTGAACCTGCCTGTTGAGTTTCAACTCCACTCCTACGGTTCCTGGTAAACCTGTCCATCTGTAAAGCATTCACAAAACAGATAGTGGGCAGCTGCAGTGTATTTGTGTTTAGATGGACCTGACAGAAGAGGTCCAAGGAGAGGAACTGAAGCACGTACGTGACACCATCCAGCGTGTAGTTCTGAGCCTGTCCTATGCATGGAGAAAATAACGGATTATTCAGTGAATTCCCTTGGAATGAGCAACTGTAACATGCGAGAAGAACAGGCTTCACGTCTCAAACCAGCATACATTCCAGACAGATCAAATATTATCATGGAGAAACAAAAAAATTATAAAAAGTGTTATATGAAATGATTGGCAAATAGAGAATCTCAGGGTGGGGAAATCTTTCCTGAGCCGAACACCGAACCCATAAGCCATAACAGAAAACATCCATAAATTTGGCTACATAACGACTTAGAACTTATTTACGTAAAAAAAAAAAAAGGATAACTGTTGTCTGGCAGCAAACAAGTTTAAAAATATTTGAAATACAAATGGCAACGCTAATAATGTCTTTATTTTATAAGTTCTTAGGAATCTTACGGGATTTCTTGGGTAAATACCCAATAAATAAAACTGGCAAAATGAATGGCCAGGTGTCCTAGAAAATAGCTGTCCTTTGGTGCTGTTCAGCATCTCTTCCGCTAGGGGCACCTTGCTTTTCAGCTCCTGGGATGGCGCAGGCAGGACTGGCCTGGCCAGGCTCGCTGTGGTCATGGTTATGTGATCTGAGTCCATCCAATGGCAGGATTCCATCTGTTGGTACAGTGATTGGCTCAGATGGACTGTGACCCATTCTCATCTAGTCAAAGCCAATCCCTTGGCTTATTCTGGAGGACCAGGAGTGAGTGTTCCTTTTGTTGGATTTGTAATCCTAAAGATAGAAGTCTGGAGTTGCCAAGGGCCATCTTGTAAAGCTTAAGAATGAAACGACTCAAAAAGGTAGGGGATGCAGAGAGAAAGACCTTGTTTGCAATGGACATGTTCTGGGTCTAGGTTCTGCCCATCCTCTGCAGGACCTTTTTCCTGGACATTTCTGTGGTGAGTCTGTGACTTCCCTTTCTGATTAAGCAACTGTGACTTCTAACTTCCAGTTCCTTGCGATTGGAAAACTTCCAACTAATAGAAGCAGTACATATCCATGCATGCACCCACCTGGGGGAAAAAAAAAAAAGACCCTTCGAGGGGAAAAAAGTCAAATTACACCAGTAATTTAAAAACAAAAAGAGGGGACATGTCACTTGAACTGAAAAATAGTTTTGGCAGTTGTTGGGCGGTGAAGTGAGTGTACCCAAGTGATCCGTGGAAAGGTAAATTTGGTGTAGTGTTTCTAGAGGGCAATCGGCTATGCATATCAAAACCACAGTTGCCTGCATTCTGAATGTGCAGTGCCACTGTTAGGAATTTTAAAATGCATGTGGAGACTTAGCATGGACTTAAATGTTCATGGCAGTGTTGCTTAAAATAGCAAAAAGATTGGAAACAGCAGGCATGGATTAAATTGTAGTCCATGGGTACCCTGGGAAACTGTAGTTACTCAAATGGTACAGGATTCTGAGGTAGAAGCACATTCGCAGTCTAGGGTTGCAGTCTATGATCCTGTTCACATTCTGTTGTTACAAAATAAGTCACAACTTTGTTGCTTCAGATACCACCCATGTGTGAGCTCACAGCTGTGTGAGCCACAAGTTTGGGCATAGCTGACTGGTTCCCAGCCTGGGGTCTGGGGAGCAGGAGCGAAGGTGCGGGCTCGGCCGAGATTTCATCTGGAGCTCTTTTTGGCTTCTGTGATTGTGGCCAGATGTAGTTCTGTGAGAGGGGGTAGTAGAGGGCCCCACTTCCTGCTGGCTGTCGGCTGGGAGCTGCTCTCAGCCCCGAGAACCCCCAGGACCCCGTGCACCTGGCCGCCTTTGGCCCCAATGCCAGCAGCAGAGACTCTCCCTGACGTGCAGTCCCTCTCGCACTGGAGTCTTGATGACATCAAGAAATGCCCAGGGCCTTTACAGGGACAATGACTGGGTGAGACTCACCCTGTATGACCTCCCTCTCTCAAGGGTGACTATTTGGGGAACTTAATCTACAAATTCTGCACCCCATCACCTGGATGGGCATCTGATGGAATAACTGGAAGAAGACCTAAATCAGGAGGCTAGAAATCTTGGGGCCATGTTACAGTTTTGCCTAGCATGATTATTAAGTTTTACAAATTGAGCAAATAACAGCAAAAAAAAACTCATATAAAGCATTTTTACTTTTTGTAGTGAAATGACAAACACAAACCAAAAAAATTTTTGTTTTTTTCATCTGCATATGTTAATTATATGTGAGTGTAATAAAAATAAAAAGGGGTGCCAGGGTGGCTCAGTTAAGCGTCCAACTCTTGATTTCAGCTCGGGTCAAGATTTCAGGGTCCTGAGATCGAGCCCTGCATCAGGCTCCATGCTCAGCGGGGAGTCGGCTAGGATTCACTCTCGCCCTCTGCCCCTCCCTCTGCTCAAATCTCTCTCAAATTAAATCTTAAAAAATAAATAAAAGTTTAAGAATAAATACAGGTCAGTACATACAACAGGTTGTTACTAGCGGCAGTTAAAATATCTTCTCTTTAGGGATGCTTGGGTGGCTCAGCAGTTGAGTGCCTGCCTTCGGCCCCGGGCATCCTGCATGGAGCCTGCTTCTCTCTCTGCCTATGTCTCTGCCTCTCTCTGTGTCTCTCATGAATAAATAAATAAAATCTTAAAAAAATAAAAATATCTTCCCTTTAGTCAACCTCTGATGCACAAGCATTGTACATCTGTCTCTTGCATTATTAGAAACAGGAAGCCTTATAACTGCACCGATGCTGTCAGATGTCCTGTCCCATTTTGCAATGATGAGAAGCTTTGAGATGAGCGTCCTGGTGCTGTAGAGTCAAGAACCTGGTATGCCCCCGCCCCCACACAAACACCCTTTAGCACAACAATGGGAAGTCCTGCTTTTTTACCAAAAGCTCAAAGGGAAAACTGTCTAGTTCGAGTTGACTCCCCTGTGTTCATTAGGCATGACTGGAAGAAACTAGTTACTTGAGACCAATAACTTGTTCTCGCATTTGGTCATGTAGGGCTGCTGTCAGTGAGAGACAGGAAAAGAGAACGTCACCAGGCCTCTCAGACCACAGTTCTGCCTGTGGCTTCTGTTTTTAGGACGCTCTCTCTCGCTCTCTCTCTCACATACACACACCCCTTGTATTTAAAGTTCTCAGTACTACGGTAGGGAAGAATGATGGTACAGAGATTGGGATCTGCTAGAAAAAGAGAATGAGAGTGCCCCACTTGTTAATGTCATGAAGGCAAAAAAAAAAAAAAAAAGAAGAAGAAAAAAGATGTCAGGTGCTGATTTTTATCATGAGCCATTTCTAAAGTCAATATGCCCATGGTGCTCTCCCCTGAAATGCTATCACTTTTCAGAGTAGATAATATACACAGGGTAGATAAATAAACTTTCATTTTTCCCTGGTGCCGTGAACTAGAGAAATAGTCTGAGCAAATAGTATGATGAAAGAAAAAGCAGATTTTGCTTTACATATATTTTAAGACCCTTGAGTTAAAAGCATCTAGAGAAATCTAAGGAGATGCTTACAGCCTTTTCTGTTCTAGTCTTGCCCCCCCTAATTATTTTTATATTATCCCATAGTAGCACATTTGTCTCTGTACCCTTTTCTATTATCTACTTGGGAGAATCATAACTAACTTTACCAAAATGAACTAATTAGCTATGATACTGTTTACAGTCCTGTCTTAAAAATGGGTGAACTGAAGCAACGGATGAATACAGTAATGGGCCCTCACAGATACGTCAGAACCTTTCACCCTAACAGAGCAGATGTATTCCAGAAAAATCGGATAAAAGTGAATTTCAGTCTAACAATTCTATTGTAGCACCGACTTCCATTAAAAAATCAGGAATGCATTATCATAGGAATAAAATTTCACAGCAGTGCAAATCCAGTGATTTCCTTTAATTCAACAAACATCCACAGAGTGTCTTCTCTACATACAACATCATTCCAAGCAAGTGGAGGTTGCAGCCACGCGTGAGCTCAGACCCAGTGGAGAGGGAGGGGCCAGCTGCTCTGTGATTATCAGAATGGGACCAACACAGAGGAAGGGACGAAGAGCCACGAGTGTGGGAGGAGTGGCGAATAGTCCCTGGTGTGTGAGGCAGGGCCTTCATACCCACAGTCATTTTTGAAACGTGCCAGTTAGTGGGTCGAGTTGCCCAGATAGACATATCCACATCCAAGTCCCTAGAACCTGTGTTATCTCTTAGTGACCACCATTTGATTCAGGGCAGCAGTGCGCCCAGCTAACAGACTGCATTCCTTGGCTGCCTTGGATGCAAGATGTGGTCCTGTGCACAATAAGATAAAGGCCTCAGGGTTGTATGACACTCCAGGAGGAGCTCCTAAAGTTAACGGCACCATTTTGGGTGCATCCTTTTCCTTGTCCTCTCTGCTGAGTATGAACGTGATGTGCGGGGCTCCAGCAGCCACGCTGCTCTTTATAACCATGGTGAGAATGGAGGCCATGGTTGTAAAGGTGCTGGGGTGCCGGAGCGAGCGAGAGAGAAGCCTGGGTTCCTGGTGACTGTCGAGCCGAGAAATAAACTTCAATTTCTTCTCAACGTTCAGGTGGAGATCGTGAAGGAATTGACGTGAGCCCTCCACCACTGTGGGGGACTGAAGAGCCCAGGTCCCATGCGTCGGATGATGGCAGGAGGCCACTAGACTGGTGGGACTCCAGGGCCTTGTGTACCAAGCCCAGAGGGAACCCCGTCAATGCCTCATGGTTAAGGTCACAAAATTGGAAGGAAGAATGACCAATCACAAATAGCCAACCAGGCTTTAAGCTGGAGCCAATTGATCATCTACTTCCTTTGTTTCAGCATTTTCTGTATAAAAGCCTCTCCTGGATCTCCTGCTCCCCACCAGCCACTTCCAGCTTAGTACTGCTCTATTGAAATCAACTTTTTCGCAAATAAAATGTTTAATGTGCCTCGGTTTATCTCTCAGCACATCTAAAGGGCGCAGTTCCTTCTTAGATCTAGTCCGTTTTGGAAATGATGGCTGAAGATGGCCACATCTCTGATTTTCCCGGCAACATGAGATCCCCGGTGCTGGTAGCCCTGGGACATCTCTGACCACCCTGGTGCCAAGAAGAGTCTACCCATGGCCGCCCTCGGTTCCAGAGGGAGGCAGTGCAGTCCCCCCTGCTGTGGCCCCCGAGGAAAGGGACCCAGCACCTTGTAGGTCCCAAGGGAGCAACCTGCAGGTACCCCCGGGCCCGGTGGGGGGCGGGGGGCGGGGGGTGGGGGGTGGGGTAGGCGGTAGCCGAGCATCGTCTTTGTGGGAAGGGACTCGTCGCCCCCTGCTGTCCCTGGGAGGGGGCCCGCGGGAGCACACTTGCCGCCTGGGCCCCCCAAGAGCGGCCCTCTTCTCCCCTGGACCCAAGAGACGGCGCCCTCCGTCTCTTCTGGTTCCCATGGGAGGGGCCCCGAGGACCCCGCGGTGCTGGCCCCTGGGAGCGGTGCTGGGGCCAGGGGCCCGGGGAGCTCCGGGGTCCGGGTCGCTCGGAAGCCGTGTCGCGCTCCCTCCCGCCCCCGCCGCTCGCGCGCCCAGGTCCCCGGCGCCGGAATCCCGTGAGCGCGGGCGCGGCCTCGGGAGCGGCGGGCGGGACCCACCAGGCGCCACCGCCCGCGGCCGGGCGCCCCATCCCGGCCCGGCCCCCGCCCCCGGCCCCGGCCCCGGCCCCCGGCCCCCGGGCCCGCCCCGCCCCCTCCCCCTCCCCGGGCCCGCCCCCTCCCCCTCCCCGGGCCCGCCCGGCGGCGGCGGCGGGGGCGGCGGGGACGGCGGCGGCATGCGGCTCCTGTTCCTGGCCGTGCTGCGGCGGCACACGGGCAACGCCGTCACTGCCGAGCGCGTCCGGTAGGTGCGGCGCCGGCCGAGCCTCCGCGGGGGGGGGGGGGGCTCTCCGCGGGCCCCGGACGCGCGCCCAAACCGACCGGCCTGCGCGCGGGGGGCGCGGGCGCCGGGATGCGGCGGGGGCGCGCGGTCAGGGCGGCCGCAGCCCGGGCCCGGGGCGTCGCCTGGCCTCGGCGGCCCTCTGCGCCCCGCAGGCCTCTGGGGTTGCCGGGGGGCGGGGGGGACCGCGGCCGAGAGGCGCGGGGCGGCGGGAGGGCGGAGAGGGCGCCGCGGGGGCTGCCGGCTGCTGCGCTCGCACGCGGATGCTCTGCGTGGGACGAGGGCGCAGGCCCCGGGCGCGGCGAGGACGCCGGGGGCCGGGGCGCGAGCGCGCAGGATGCCCGCGGCGCGCTGTGCTTGTGTGGACGTGACCGGCCCGGGCCGCGGGTGCGCGGGGGCTGCTTCAGGCAGGGCGGCCTCTGCCCGGGGGCCCGAGTGCGGAGGGGCCCTTGAAGCCCGGGGCTGGGGAGAGAGAGCTCGAGGCCGGGGTGCGCCAACGTGCCAGCCGTCCCTCACCCTCGGGGCCCCTTCCCGCGCCGCCAGCCTTCCAGGTTCCCGTCTGACTGTCCCCGTGGGCCGCCTTCCCAGCGCTCACCTCGTTCTGCAGGTGACTTGTCCTGTGTTCTCTTGTGTCCTCACGGCACAGACTTGGAGCAGATCAGTGCCTGGAGCTTCATGGAGACCTTTTTTTTTTTAATTTATTTGTTTGTTTATTTATTTATTTATTTTTTTTATGACCGACTTGCTTCATGGAATTTCTCAACTCACTTCCCCTCTGTGGGTCCGCTTCCCCATCATTGAAATGAGCGATTGGGGCAAAGCCAACTCTTTAATTTGTCCCTTTCCACAAAAGGATGCTACAGTTCTCCTCCAGCTCATAGGTGGCAAATGTGATAGAGGATAAAATCAGTCTTCTGAGGTGTACAATTAGGATTCCATAATGAAGATTTTTCATCTACAGGTTTATCTTCGATCTGATTTCAGTGCCCCTGCGTTCACTCCTGGGCACAAGGAGGGAGGAAGTGCAGTGTGGCCTCTGCTCTGATGAAGCACATTCCAACAGGGGAGAGAGACTGCGGGAGTCCACAGAATTACAGGGGGCAGCTTCAGGCCCCTGACTAGTGCCAGGGGCGGGGAGGCTCTCTGACATGGTGAGATTCCAGCTCAAACCTCTGTGACCAAAGGGAGCAGCCACTCCGATCTGGGAGGATGGTTTGGGAGGGGCTAACAGCAAGAGAACAGGTCCAGAGGCCAGACAGAGCTTGATGTGCCTGAGAAGCAGAAAGAAGGCCAAGCTCTCTGGAATCTAGTGCCTGGAGGGGGTGAGTGCCGAGAAGGGAGATCAGAGAGAGAGGCCAGGTCCCATAAGAGAACTAGAGAAAGCATCTCTTTATTTAACATTTTGCTCCCAATGTGAATTGTACACATGAACCCCAATATTCCAAAGGCCCTCAGGCGCCCCCAGCCAGAGAGCCATTAGGAGAAGTAGGCAGGCATGTCCACGGGACCGCTGGCTGACATTTAGCTGGGATGCAGGCCCCTTGAGCTACTTGTCTTTAGTTTTCCTGGCTGTGCATGAAGCATGACGACAATGGCTCTTTGTGCTGTTGTCTCTGCAGAGCCAGCTTTGTCTCCCCTTTACTCCAGAGGGAATGCAGAAAAGGGAAAAATCAGAAGTTGCAAAAGACATCTTGGGTCCTGTGGAAATGGAGGCTCCTTGAGGAAAGAATGCCAGGTGTCCTGGAAGGGGAGGGGATGGAGGTTCCTATGGTGACAGTTTCTTGTGGAGCTAGAGCATCTCCTCACGCTTTCTCTGCCAAAGACCCCTCTGATCCTCAAGTGACCCAGGGCCCAGGGAGTCCCTCAAATGAATAAGATTGGAGTTCCCTTCAGTCTAAGAGAGGAAGGAGTCTGAGTTAAGGACTGGCTTTTTAAAATGAAGAAACGGGTCCATTCTTGTGCATCTGTCTGTAGTTGTAAATTAACACCCGGTCCATAAATAGCATTCCTGAATCCTGATGAGTACATGGATAGGGAGGTGTAAGTGCTCTGGGAGCATGTAGGCAGGTGACCCATCCCAGGCCAGACATGGGGAGAGATTTTGGGGCATTGCAAACTGAGGAAAGGCACAAGCTCTGGAGTTGCCTTCACATGCCGCTCCCCAGCAAGGAAAAAGTAGGCTGGGTTACACAAATGCTTTGCTGCTTAGTGTTCTTATCCATGAAGAAGGTATGCCGCCGCTATTACCTGCCTCAGAGGTTTGTCATGAGAATCAAACATGAATTAATACGTTTTCAGTGTTTTAAACCATGGCCAGGTGCTTAGTACGCATTTAATAAATGCATTCGATTCATGATACCGTGGACCTTAATTGCCCAAGTGGGCAAGGGTTGGTCAGAAGGGAGGATGGGTGTCCCAGGCAAAGGGGCAGCAGGTGGGATCAGGGGGACGGCAGATCCCTTCCAGATCTGAGGTGTGCAGCCTTAACAATGTCAAATACACTAGGTAAGTGATTCTCAGTGGGATCCGGGGCTGGAAGGACGTGCAGAGGAGGAAGGAATGATTTTGCCCCGGGGGACATTGGGCAGTGTCTGGAGCCATTTTTTGGTTGGTTGTCTTGCTGGGCATGAGAGGCCACTGCCATCTCTTGGGTAGAGGCCAGGGGTGCTGCTAGACACCCTGCAGTGCCTAGGACTACCCCACAGAAGAGAATGATCTAGTCCAAAATGTCAGTAGTGCTGAGACAAACCTCACTCTAGGGTGGAACGGGTAGACGTGGCTGCAGAGGTGGGCAGGATCCATGTCAGACTGGATGTATGGTTTTGTGCCACAAACAGAATTAAGCCACCAAGAGCTATCCAGTTTTAAAGATATTTGAGCTGCATTTTGAAAGATGGATTGGGTCAGGGGCAGAGGAAGTGAGCCTTTGGGTCTGACATATTTCAAAAGTAAAATAAGCAGTGCTTGGTTATTGAATGTAGTGAATGTCAAGTGAAAAAAAAAAACCATTTAGTAAAGAGTTTGATGTCTTTTATTCGAGGGAAAACAATCCATGAGTCGGGCTGCCCTGCCTCACAGGCAGGGTCGCACTTCCGAAAGATTTGAGGCTAGAGGGAGTTTCTTTCTTTCTTTCTTTCTTTCTTTCTTTCTTTCTTTCTTTCTTTCTTTCTTTCTTCCTTCCTTCCTTCCTTCCTTCCTTCCTTCCTTCCTTCCTTCCTTTCTTTTCTTTCTTTCTTAAGAACGATTTTCATGGAGCCTTAGAAGCCACACTCTGGGGACAGTCCTGGCTGGCTAGGAGGTCAGGGTTCCTCTAAAGCTAGCAGATCCTGTCTGTTAGGGTGAGATGAGTTAGCTAAACTGAGTTGGAGGAGCCCGATTGGCATGTGTTAGGCTTTCCCAACAGTGATGCATTTCCTGGCTGACTGAGGTTCAGGTTTGGGATGTAGGCCAGGCCACTGGGGAGTCTCCATTTTGTGGGTCCTGATAGATGAAGTATGTTAGCAGGTGCAGGTGATAGCTGGGAAGAAGGCATTTGGATGGGGATCAGTAACTTAAGAGTGACTATTTTATTGTCTGTGTGGCACTTTGCCCTTCCAGAGACCTGTGTGCCATGCATGGAAGTTCACCTTGTGTTCTAAATCGGGGACTGTCTGTTAGCATCTTTTAAATACCCTAATTGGGTACCTACTTCCAGATTTGTTCCCTGAGCCCTGTGAGTGTTTGTTCATTAGTAAAGGGTTGTTCATTAGTAAAAAGTATCTCAGGAGTAATTACTGGTGTTGAGGGTCTTTGGTGTGCTGGAAAGGTTATGGGGTCCCTGTGTGAACATGAAGCCCTCACGGTGGGACTACACTAAACTGCCAGGGCTGGGGGTCTGGCTCTCCGAGTGGTCCGGCAGGGGCACCTGCGGTTCCCCACCCACCTCTGACCCCCTGAAGCTGTAAACATTTTTCAGAAGAACCTGACAATGATCCCAACAAGCCTCTACATCAGGCAAATTGGTTCAGGTTAGCGCCTAACAAAAAAAGGTCACAATGAAAAGTTCCAACGGTAAATTGAAAACAGGGTCAGAAACCTAGGGAACAGGGATCCTTTGGCCTTTGGCCCAGGGCGCGATCCTGGAGAACCGGGATCGAATCCCACGTCGGGCTCCCGGTGCATGGAGTCTGCTTCTCCCTCTGCCTCTCTCTCTCTCTCTCTCTCTCTCTCTCTCTCTCTCTTTCTCTCTGTGTGACTATCATAAATAAATAATTAATTAAAAAAAAAAAGAGAGACCCAGGGAACAAAGTTCTCTAGGGAACAAAGTTAATTTCACTGGTGGCAGAGAAATAAATTGCACAAGTAATGGATGTGAAAAAAAAGCATTGACGCAATTGTTGTAGTGAAATAGTTGCAAATCCACAGTGTCAGAGAGCACTAACTGACATGGGAGGCTGGCCCTCAGAACCCTTGAAATATTTTTCTCAATCAAGGCTGGACAGAGTTGTGCCCAAGGGCCACTCAGAGGCAGCGCCTGTGTGGTGAGGAAAACCTGGAGGATAAGGTTGTGCCCAGGGGTGCCGGCGGCTGCTTCCTCATTTCCCCACTGTAGTGGCTGAGCTGAGTGCTAGGACAGGGGCTGTCTGCCCCAGGCCCAAAGATATGCACTCTCTGGCCACACTTCCAGGAAAGGATTTCTGACCCCTGTCCTACACCAAGCTGCGGGATGCTTGCCAGAGTACTGGGTACCACTCCTGTAGTTTTGTCTGCAGAGCTCCTAAGGTCGCAGTGAGGGGCAGAGGGTTCAGGTCCCTCCAGTCCAGAGGAGGGAGTTCTGAGGGTCAGTGTTGATGAGCGTATTGGCATCCGCATGAGGGTGAATGTCGCCACGTGGGAGCCGGACTTTGCGCGGAGGGTGGTGCTGCCTTGTTCTCTTCCTCCCTCGGGAACACATTGTGTAACGATGGCAGCCACTTTAGATACCA